TCTAAATAAAACAGAAGGAATACTTCAGCAATAGTTCTCTCAAAATGTGGCTTTATACAGTATATGACGTTACACATAGAAAAAAAGGACTGTGCTGGAGTGTGGAGCACACATTCTGAGGCCCACTTTAATAATCATCCAGTAACCTAAATACAAGATAAAAACAATGACTCTATCCTTTCGTTATTAACTAAAATCTTATTAAATCTTAAGTTAGTAAGTACTTTCATAATGTGTAGGAGCATCTAAGTTAAAACCTAAAGTAAAAATAGGAAAATTAATCAGGTGGAAAAGATACACTGAAAATACATTTTATTTTATAATTTTGTATTAGGACATATTTATCAGAATCATAGTTTTATTAATTACTTTCATATTTCTAACATGTGTCTTATGCTAGAAACAGATGTTTTGTCACTTTCATTAAGATTATAGTTTGACACACATAAGATTCCTGTTATGTGAATATGTTTACACCATGTTTTAGTATAAGACAACTTCAGGATTAGATTAAGTGTAAAATTAACAAGAGTTAATGGATAGTGCAAGAGAATGTATAGCTAAAGTCATTCTTCAAAAACATTGTAAGACACATTTCCTTTCGTTTTAGAAGACGGATATATTCCTAATGCTTTATATCAGATAGCAAGTGTTTTTTTTTTTGTAAACTACTGTATAAGTAAGCCACAGTATATAGTAACGCAATGTTTCTACTGGTTTATACTCCAATCAAACTCAACCAAAAACTAGTGGTTAAATACTTCACCCCAGAGTTTCAGTTACAGTATATCAGTGCTTTCTCCATTTTTGGTATATATTATTAACAGAAAACTAGTTTTCCAAATGAAGCCATCACAGTCAAATGTATTTCTCTACAGTGTCAAATGAAAGCTCAAATACAAGTTGTTAGCATTTTGAGAGATGTCAGTGTATTTTTCATTTCCTTCCAAACACCAGCTCAATAATTAATGATAGCCTGATTCAAAACAGATTACTTTAAAATGCATTTCTGCATCTGCAGTATTATGCTATGACATAAGAGTAATCCATCCTATGTCAATGCATTTGTGAAGCATTTACACCGCTAATACCTTGTCCGCTGTATTAAATATATATTTTAGAAATCACCTGCATTGTAACACTCATGACTATAAATTCTTTATGTCAGTAGATAAAGGTGTACCAACACAAAAGAAGGAACAGATAAATAGACTGAAAGGGTTACTTTATCTTACATCATTCTCAGCTGTTTTTAAATGGTTGGAGCATTTGCTGCTCTGTGATTCAATTACATTTATTTTCTTCCTCAATTTGTCACAAAACTAGAGTAAAGAAAAGCTTACAGACTTCCCATTTGTGTTTGATATAGTACTGTAGTACAAATATTAGACTCAAGAAAAGAATCAAGGTTTTGGTTTAACTGTGGAACATCTGCATTATACCACTTAAATTAAGTATTATCACTCAAGCCCAAGCATTATTACAAACAGCCATTTTAAAAACCACTCCCATAAACCTTGAACCATAACCAGTATCTATTTAAACTAAACAGAACTGGGTTTGTCTATAATTACATTGTGTTTCATAACATAAGAATCATGTACTCATTTTATCTTTAAGCACAACTGAATAAACCTCAACTATGAAATTACTGGCCTTGATACCAAATTTAAACATATAAATATTAGAAAATATTTATCAAGGTCATTGTATGTTACAGTTGCAGTGATACAGAATATGCCCGTTTGCTGAATCCTTCAAGGTGATTAGAAACACTAAACAAGAGTGTTTTTATCTTGAAGTCCTTTTTTTTATTTTGAAGTCCAGTTTCAAGCTTTACTGTCTAGAGCCTGCCTTTGTGCTGCTTAAATATTTCAACTGTTTTAGGGGACGACATAAATATGAAATTTCATGAATTATGAAATCTTATTAATTCATGAAGAAAACTTTTTTTCTGCTGTGGTATTCAACTTCAATTCATGGTTTTATTTGCTCAGCAGGAGCTGCTAAAGAAGATTTATGGAACATGTGATTATCTCCTTAGCACCAGGACAGTATACATTATTAACATTAATTCCACAGCCTACAAAGTTACACTAAACTCCTCCAAGTCTAAGCAGTTTACCGTAATAACTAAATATGAAGAAGGCATTAAACTCTTTCTTCAAAATTTTTCAAAAACTACATTTCTGAACACTGTTCAGTTATCTTTTTGTTCAGTCCTGCCCACATTTAAAACGAGAAATTTATTTGCAAAAACAAAATTCACCAGTGAAGACCATCATTATTTCTGTTGTTTGTCAGAAATTAAAAATATTCATATCTCTATATCACTTTTGACATCATTTAAATATTTTGTGGTTATTATAACACAATCCTTTGGCTTTTTGTTGCACTCTGAGTGTATAGTGCACATTTTCATAAAAACAGTCCATCGAAACCTCTTAAGGGATAATCCAGCATGATTATTGAGAACTAAGCTGTACATGTTTACAAAATTTAAATTCCCTGCTAAAGTCTAGACTTTGAGTGTGTAAGTCAGGGTGGTAAAAAATAGAAAAAGTCACTTGTCATCTCTCAGTTGGATTATAAGAAGGCTGTGGTTTTTGCATATTTTTTCATAAAGAAAAAAATACTTTGAGGGTAGTAACCTCTTACTTACTTTAAGAACGGATAAACATTTTTAAAACTTTTTATCAGTAATTGGAAAGTTTTCTTATTTGTTCTGAGATACTGTGTACAATTAATGCAAAAATGAAGAAAAGGACAGCCTGAGTAAATAACTAAGGGATTCACGGCTAAATGTTTGCTAAGTAGAGTGCTAAACTGATTGTTTGACTAAGTGCATTTGGTTACCATTTGTATGTGTCTTATTTAGCAGTATGAATCAATATTTTTATATTGTAATGTGCAATTACAAAATTTGAAAGTTCTTTTTCCACTTAATAAATAATAACAGTTACAGTACACTGTATTGGTTGCAGAAAATCAAGCATAGATCTGTAAAATAAAGCATGATTTTCAGACATACGTGAGACTTTCTAGGGACATTCAGCATAACCATAGTGTTAGCAACTTTTGATTTATCCATTTTAATTATCCAGGCATTCTTGAATGTAATAAAAAATGAATGGCAAAATAAGCTTATTGGATTATCTAAGAAAACATCCCTTACCTCAGCCTTCTTAAGGAAAAATAAAATCAATGTGACTAGCAAAATTGTAATTTTATTCAATTAAAATCAATACGTTTGAATGCTGTATGTATTTATGCTTCATATATAGGATAATTTTATTAATTGAAAATGTGCATAAACATATGGATAGGAATACAAATTAAATAATAGAAAAATGTATTTTAGATCTCTGTACTCCTCTTTCTTACTCAACATTTATTTCCCAAATTTAAACTTGTTCAGTATTTTCATAAAATCCTGTTAGCACTGATCTTGTCACTGTGGCAGTCTATAAATATATATTTGAAACTAAAACTTAATTCAAACCTTAGAAACACACTACTCTTTTTTAATCACCCCAAGCAGCTGTTTGAATCCAATGTCAGTGAAGATGTGCATGCTAATAAGCAGGAAATTCAAAACAGTTAATATACATGTCTAAAAAAGATTAGAAAAGCTACCAGAAAATCAGATCCAAACACTGTTATTATTAAACACAGCCAGTAACCACTGTCTCCTGCTTTTGTGACTTCCCAGCTATGGTTCTGGGAAGGAAAGTAATTGATTTTCTAGGCATCATTAAGAATCAAAAGTTGTGCTGGGTAGAGGCAGTTCATATTGACTCTTTATTACTTGATAGCTCATTATGTAGACATAGTGAATGAAAGGCAGACTATAGTTTTGCTTATCTACCAAACAAAGAACTGCCCAGTCTTACATTTCATATATACCTATTTTAAAAAGCTATCGATTATTTTGTATAAAATGTATCATTAAGTTACAATGTCAAAACTATAAACTCAAATATTTGAGCTGTAAGTATTTCCATTTTTATACAAGTAATTCAGTATTAAAATGCTGCATTAACAATTTCAAGCAGTGAAATAAGGATCTATCTATCTCATGTAAAAAATTTTTATCTACCATTTTTCTGTTCACTGTTATTCTGCTTTATTGTAAAGTATGGTAAACAGTTCGCCTCATGCCTTGTGACTTCAGTAAGACAAACTACTCAGCACTTTTCTTTTTAGAATCATTATGAAGCACAGTAGGGGTTGAAAAAAAGTCTAGCAAAAAACTTTGATTTGTTTCACTGTCTTACTAATCTAATAGATCAGGTTTCAGAACAAAAAATGACAAATACATGGCAGACCAATTTAATTGCCAGACTGCAAAAATATTTTTAATCATAACTATTATTCGGAATCCCTTAGGGATTGTCAATATGGTTTTAATAATCCTTGGACTGTGATATATATATCAAGTATACTACAAATTGTTTATATATATGTTTAAATATCTATATACCATAAACTACTGCAACATTACCCCTTCCAATAATGATCATATTCATTTTACAGGAGTGCACCTACCTTAACCTTACTTCATAGTTTATTACTAATACAATAAAATTAAGGCACATATAATTGCACTGTTTATACTATTAAAGTGCTTTGCAAGATTATTTTCCATATTTTATTTCTGTGTCTTTATACTGAAATCCTTCCAGAATAACCTTGAAACTGTGATACATAGAAGAAAAAAAAAGATAAAACAATAAGACCCTATGTTGTGAATCTAAATTCCGGCCCTGTGGGATGCGTCCGATTTTGATGTCAGAAACTATATTTTAATGTCAACACTGCAAATGAGGCAGTGACACCTATAGTGTTTCAGAAACCCAAGAAGTACCAGACCCCTTCAAGGCCTGACAGTTCTGGGTTAGTGACACACATCAAAATGAGATACTGTCACTGCTCAGTGTTTTGCATGTTATGTGCCTGGAGTCATTGGAAATGAGGTTTTAGTAGGTCTATCAACCCACCATTCATCCCATTGTAAATGCTCCGATGATGAGGCGACATTTCGTCTGGAGCTGGCCTCCTCTGCATCCCTTCTCTGCTGGGGCTGGTAAACTTGAGGTGCTCTGGACTCCCGATGTATTGATGCCGGAGCTGCTCTGGGCTCCCTCCCCGGGCTTTCTGGAGAAGGTCTGGAGTGCCAGTCAGTGCCTGTTTCTGCAGAGGCTCGGAGCTAACACTGCTATGTTTTTGGTGCTCAGGGCTACCTCCACCCCCTCCTCCGCTTCGGTGTTTTTGAAAGTGCTCTGGGCTATTGGTAGTGCTCATGAGGTGTTTTTGCAGGGTTTCTGGGCTGGCACTGGTGTGCTTCTGATGCTCAGGACTTCCGCGGCCCAGGCCCTTGTGCTTTTCGGGGCTCACCCCTCGCAGGTGTTTGTGGTCGGGGCTCCCGCTACACTTTGGCTTCGGCTGGTACTCCGGGCTGCCGCTCCTGTGCTTCTGGTGCTCTGGACTTCCATCCCTCCGAGGTTTCTGCAGGTGCTCTGGGCTTCCTGTGGTGAGAAGCTTGTGGTGGTGGTCAGGACTGTCTGTGCTCCCAGCACTCGAAGTGCTACTTCCATCGCCCACATCCCTTAACAAGCCAGTACTGGGGGCTGATATATGGGATAGGCTATTCTGGCTATCTATGGAATTTCGGCTACCTACACCACAGTTCTTTTCTTCATCAAGCATCAGACAGAGCTCCTTGAGTTCCAGGTTCTCCTTGATCACCTCCTCTTGCTTTACTTCAAGTTCCTTTAGCTTCTGTAAATACAAAGTCACCTCTTTTCGCATCACACCTGCACTGTATCTCCCCAGCCTCTGCCACTCCCTGGACACTTTTTTCCCTTTTTGTCTGTCATCATCTAAAAAGCAACACAGGTCTCTCAACTCTTGGTTGTCCTCTTGGAGCTTCTGGTTTATGTCCTTAACCACATAGAAAAAGAATGAAGATTTGATTATGACCAGAGTGACACATCTGTTCATAGTAAACACATAAATCTACAAGGGGAAGTAAACTAGACATTTCCTGATAATAAACAAAAACAATCCACTTAACTAGACAAAAATGTGGCAGGGCTGTGTATATTTTGAAGGTATTACATTTAAGTTGAATCCTGATCTGCCTGTCCAAAGGTTCTTTCAAATCATAAAAAACAAAGGGGAAAAGTACTAAATTTTAATTGGTAGAAAATGCTTGAAAATATAGCTGTATGTCTCTTAATCCTCTTAGATTCAGTAAACTTGATTCAAAAAGTACTTCTCTATAGTTACAAGAAAGGAATGATATGCAAATAGTAAGAATTCTAAACACCTATTGTACTATGCTTCTCAAAAGTGTTTGTTTTGTGAATGTTAGTAGAAAACCAAGATACTTGTCCCTGTTGCAACACACTTTGAAATGCAAAAGCACAAGGGTCTTGGAGCTGTTGCCTATACTCAGGGAGATTAATGTTATCAAGTCTTAGCATGCATTCCTGAAATAAATTCTTATTATCAAAATCCTTCTTATCAAAAACCATGACTTTAAACAAATGCAGTTTTTTGCAGGTATATTTAGTTGTAACATTTAGGTTGTAACAATGGAACATCAATGTAATGAGGGAATATCTATTCAAAGGGCAATGTGAAATTTTAACAACTAAAAGATGTGAATAAAACTGATTGTGTGAATAGTGACTCCACACAGCATGCCCATTGGAATAGATGGAATAGATGGTTAATCACAGTATGCACCAAAATATTTATATTTTTGTCTGGTACTTTTTGATAATAAAGTATTTTGTTATGACTTGCATTAGTAGGCCATAACATGAGATACTCAATAAAAGTCAGAGGAAGTTTTAGCCATCTCTAAACAGTGACAATAATTGATTCATATCTCAAACAATCCGACATACCAATTTCAATAATACTAAAAATACCAGATATCTTGTATGGGGGCAGTGCTTGAAGTAAAATAGTCTATAAAATATCTATAAAATGAAAAACTGACTTCTGTTCTCTATTAAAAGGGTGTTAGACCAATGGAATAACCCCAATGAAAATGGAAACCCATATTCTTTATGCATGTTTGTGGTTGAGTGTTTTCATACAGTAGGTGTGTATCTGGAGAGTATGTGTGTCCAAATAGTGTCAGCACTTAACATCCGAGTGCAATTAAAGTTGTGTTTTTCTTTTGCATCCTGTCGATTTCCTTCAGTCAGATTCCTTTCATGTGCTTTCAACCTTAGCACTTTTTAAGATGGAAATATTCACTGTTAGTCCTTTGAGCATTAGTCTCTCGTTGGTTAATTAGCTCAGAGTTTTTGCCTTTTGGACTCTTACAAATTTGTCTAAGATTCAAAGTACGTTTTTTCCCCTACTCTGTGCAACTTCAATGAAAAAGATCCCTAAATTACCCTCACAAGGAAAGTTACGCTTACCAAAAAAACACTGTGTACTCAACACATCTGTTGGTCTCTATATTATTTATATGAATACTCTCACAGGTATCTAGCTATAAGTGAATATACAGTATGATGCACTTATTTAAGACTGTCTATGTTTATTAATATTGAAGGTTAAAATATTCATTTGAGCTTTTTGTCTTTTCTTTAACCATTATTTAATTGGTTTGGTTAAGCAAAGAACTAATGCGATTGCACTATAAATACAAACACTTTAAAGCAAACTTGTTTCTTGCGTGCTAAATTGGAAGCACTAATATCGACAATTATTCACACCATTAGCTTTTTAAGCTTCTTCTTAGATAGTTTAATAAAGAAAATTAGTAAAAGCCCCTTACATTTCTTGAAAACGTATAACTATGATACATGTAAAAAAACAACTACTCCGTTAAATACGAGGTTGAAGTATTTGTTTTTTCACACGGTGTTGGACAACAGGTGTCATTTGGCCCACTGTGACTCAAGAATAATGGTGATAAAAGCTATTTGCACTCTCTCATGCGCAGTAAAGCATTAAGTGATATGTTTTAAAGTAGTAAGATGTATGATGTTAACATATAAAAGACTAAACCAAACACTAGTCTACATGCAGTTTAAAGGCGGTCATTATTTATCCTATCCCAACCAGCTCCAGCTTCCAATGTGCATCTCTACTACAAAATACTTAATAATTGCTAGCATTTATGTTTTATAGTTCTTAGTTCACATTACCTAAACACACTGTACGAACGTAAGCACGCATTCTTGTATTAATTATTTTTAATCTGCATGACTTTGATGAATAACGCTGCCCTCTATTACCTTTAGTCCTCTGATCTCGTTAAGATGAAGCTGCAGTCTGCGGTTGACCTCCCTGATGAGGTTGCCATGGTCCAACATGATACTCATCTTCTCGGATTCTGCCCGTCGGAGCCTGCGGACCAACTCTTCTTTACTCCACTTCATTAAGTCCTCGTCTGACAGCTTAGAAAGGTCTTCAGTCGGACTTTCTGTGCTCTTTGACATTTTTAGTTCTGAATTATTCCCCCTTCTGTGTAAAAAAGTAAATATCAAGGCAGTTGTATAGAGCTCACATAAAGTTATTATTTATCAAATATTTTTTCTTACAGCCATCGTCCCCTTTACGGTACGAAAATGATATCTGTGCCCAAAACCAAAAGCATTTAAAAATACACAGACAGGGATTGTTTCCCGTGTCTAATTCCTTTTTTTCTGCAGTCGGGATTGCATCTTGTCTTGCACAGAGAGACCCATATCGGTTCCTGAGCTAAACATTCTCTACTAGCGATGTTTGCTGGGAGATGCTTCTGCAAATGCATTAGAAGTGGGTATTGGGTTGGACGCAGCTGCAAGAAACATTGTGACTGCAGTATAAGACTCGGCAGACTGGCACACAGTACTGGATCGCTCACTCCCCCCACCCTCCCCTCCCCAGCCCAGAGAATAGCCTACAATTCAAGAGAATGGGGAAGGACTTATGGATACGACGCGCCACCTGCAGCATTAAAACGTACCAATCCACCCTGCAGATGATGTCACTCTTTTACACATTTCGATTGAATGATAATAAAACAAAATATCTTGATGAGTAACCCGTGGAACTTTGAACATTAATCCGCGGTAGGCTATAGTAAAAGCATCAAATTGTACAGTAAGTATATCATAAATGGCATTTTTAAAAGATGCGGTTTCATGTATCACTTAGTATGCTATGTTACAGTCATTTAGGGTGTTTACGCGGTGTATGTACAAAATGATCGGTGAATGCAGTATTTAAAAAAATGTTCAGCTTCTTTCCTCAATGAACCAGCAACAGCAAAGCAATATATATTTTAAAAGAGCAGCTGAGTAGGACTACAACTCACATTTTTCATCCACCTATTGTCTTGTCTTGACTTGTTATTCGTAATAAGGTCAAACCGATCCATATTGACGGACTTTTTAAAACAATTAGTAATTGATTGCTTGTTTAAAATAATATGAAAATATATGTGTAAGTCAGATATGCAGTTTGTAAATTTGTGCACAGGAGAAACATGTCGTGGTGCAAAATAAGAAGAAACTCTCACACCTGCGTAAAAGCCAGAAATGCTCCTGATTTCCTCAAAACAACATGCACTTTATTATGTCTATGTTTTGTCTATACCTGAAGAGAACTTTGTGACAAAGTTTTTTTTTTCCTTTTTCCACTATTCAACCATTCATTATCAGACAAAATCTTATTCCTGGTAAGGGTTCTAACAATCTGTATCTTATAGTGTAGCTTTTCTGCTTATATTCTTACTGCATTTAAAACAGAGAACAAGAGACACTTTTTCATGCAAAGGATTATGGGAGTATGAAACAAGCTAATCAGCAATGCTGTTGAAACTGATTTTGTTTTATCTCAAGAAACAGCTGTATAAGCTACTCGGATCAATTAACTACTAACTACCAAACAAGTTAGACTGTCCAAATACCCTCCTCACCTTTTTAACTCTTTTCTCTTTGATGTATTGAGACATAAGCAAAATGTGCATGGCAATACTCGCCCCTGAAAAACTTGAGCAGTGATGGCATGTTCACCCTCTGACATATTTTGCAATACTAGTTTGCATTTCTGAGACAAGAATTTGCTTTGGGACATTTTATATGGGTCTGTCACCACCATTATCTGACTGAACTAGCTGGGTTGCTGTCTAGAAATATAAAAAAAGGTGGGAATGTGTGATAAATGGTAGAAGATCACAATCTGAGGTAAATAAAATTATGTAACAAACTCTGGACTTTGGCAGCCCTTTGAACTATAGGCTAGGAAAAACAGTCTAAATATGTATGTCTTAAGCCTTTAAAGGCCAAGACCATAGGGGCACCCATGATGTGTTATGGGTAAATTCCATAATTTAAGTACTGTGTAGCTAAAGACTCTGCTGCCATTTTAGAGATTACCAAACAACAACATGGAGATACTCAAATATAATGTGCATTTCAGGACTCAAATCTCCTTTCAGGACTCTCCATGTGTCTCAGTGGTGATAGATACAGTATACAGCATGTCCCTGCATAAAGACATAGTCCAAGAGTTGTTTTTCAGCCCTGAAAGGTGTGGACATGTGCAAGAACTTGAGCTTGGAATGAGTTAATGTCTCCATGGGTATAAAATTCATCAGCAGTACTCAGTTTTTTATAATCCGAAAAAGGTGATTTCAGAATATGATCTGTTTACTAGTAATACAAAAACAGCATTTGTAAGTAATACATTTCAGCCAGACACACTACATTTATAAGAATCAGATGCTCCTGTGGCAGAAATGCTGTTGTAGAGGCGATGCCACTCACGTCACAATACCAGACATGCCAAAACACAGAAGAGAAAACCTGGATCAGTACACACTTGACCCAACAACATTACTCATCCTCTAGCCCTCCATCTCCTGTGTTTGCAATGACATGTTCTACAGCTGAATGATTCCATCTGTTGCTCCAATACCTCCTGCAGCAAATCACCCATCTGGTGGACCTTATAGCTCTGTTCCTGCAGTAAGAACTAGCCTGACTCAAAGTAAGTCAAATGACCCAAAATCTGACTCTCCCCCAGGCAAGGGCAACTGCCCAATTTCCTGTGCCTAAAGAACTGCCAGATTCACTGTTGTGTGCTGTGACTGTTATCAGTGAGGCCTGTGAGAGCATCTTATGCAGCCATACAGACACTGACAAAGTTTGTCTGTCTCATGTGACCAGGATATACAGAGAAGGCTTCACACTTTGCAGTACATTTTTTCATCGTAATGCATAGTAGCCAACACTTTGAGATTGTATTCTAGTCTGAGAGTCTGCTACCGCACTGAGCATTTTTTTTAATGTATGATGATAATGCATTTATTATTAATTCATATAATACGTTCATCATTAAACTGTTTCTTACACTCCCTCCAACTCAAACCGAAACTGAAACTACAATAAAGCAGGCCAGTGAACACAAGAGGGCACTCGCCCAAAACTATGCAGAATTTGGAAAACTCAAGATATATATTAAATGATACCACGCATACGGCCTCCATTGCTTGCGAGAGCCGGCTGACCAGAGCGGTGACGTCACCGCCCTTCCCTGTGGATAGCAGGGCTGAGGGGAGATTTCCCTTCGGTTCAAGAGGCTGGGTCCCTGTTGAGTGACGCTGGAGGCCCGGGTTCGAGCCCCCGACGGTGGGGGGTCGGCCTGATGCGGTGGCGACGAGGGCGCCCACGTGAGCCCCGGAGCGCTACAATACGAGTGTATTCCAATATTAATCTTTGGTACAATAGATGGGGTCACTGGTGTATTTTCGCCGTGTGTTTAGAAAAGTGGTGCTAATTGTATTTTATATTTCAGTTGTTTACTAGTTTACCAGCTTGAAGACAAAAGCGAATATTCAGTGTCTTCTTTTTAAGGGAACTTCTTATCATAATCATTAATGAATCATTAGTTAATGATTTTTTAGTCCTAGGATACGATATTTTTGCATTTATTTGCTTAAACACAATTATGAAAAAGAAAATAAGAAACTCAGTCTTCCAAAATGAATATGACGTTATATAAAAAATAAAACTCAGCTTTATCTTTAAACTCTTTTTTTTAACAAACGTGGCAGCAACACAACAGAATAATTCCTTCTTGTCGCGACAATGCCTTTACAATGTGACCCGCCCAAGCAGGGATTTTAAAATCGGTCAATTACGCAGTTGCTAAGTGCTTACACAGGTGATGGGTGTGTCAGAAATTTGGCATAAAAGCGACAAGCCACCAGAGCGGTAGGGCCAGTGTTTTGTTTGACAAACAAAAGTACCAGCACTAAATCACAGGAGAAGGTAAGTATTTTCACCTCCTATTTCAAGTGGTTTGTTACCTAAAGAACAGAATGCTACGCACACGAGGGATCTTTCTGAGGAGTACACTGCATTAGATTTTGCTTATTATTTGATTGTTGGTGCATTTCCTGATCCTTATCGCGCTTTGGCTTCGAAACAAATGCTTACAGACCTGTATAGAACGAGACCAATTATTGCTATATGTGGAGATTTGTGAAACGCTTTTATTATAAAGGTTAATATGGTAAAGCAGATAAACTGTAGATATTCTTTATAAATATCATTTAAACTTTTAGGCTTCGTTTATATACATAGTGTGTATGTTTCTTGTACTTGTATTATACAGTTCAACTTCCTTTATTGCGTGATATGGAAAAGACCCTTGCAAAAATCGTTAGAAACTGTTTCCTGACTTTTTAAAACTTCCTGATTTTTATTTTGTTATGCTATAGCATACTAAATATCTTTTCAGTGATGGATTGACTGCCACCATTAAAATAAATTTAACCTTTTATATTTAGATAAAGACTTGTATTAAAGTGATGGAGACTAGACTTTGAGTTATGTCAACATTTCTAACACTCAACATCCCCAGCTCATGAAATGTTCTTTGGTTAGAATGACTCTGTACACTTTGTGATGTTAGTCTTCATTTTTTCTTTTCAGTTTATTACTTCAGACTAATCAAGAAGCATGGGATTGGTGTGGTACAGTTTCTGTGGGCTTGTGTGCTTTGCATTCCTTAAGGCCTCCACACAGATGGTGGGGGATATTCGAGAGGCTTCTGTTGACGACCCAGGAGTACTTAAAAGTGCTCAGTTTGCGGTTGATGAGTATAACAAAGCAAGCAACGACATGTACCTCAGTAAACTAATTAAGATAACTTATGCAAAACAGCAGGTAACCAGCATTTCTTCTTCATCATTTCATTTGTTGTTGTTGTTACTGCTTTCATGACATTTCTTTACATTTCAATAGGTTGTTAATGGGATTAAATACTACCTTGGTGTTGAACTGGGACACACAGAGTGTGAGAAAAGGAACTTCTCTGATGCGTGTTCTTGCAATTTGCCTCCCAGTCAAGATCAGGTGAGAATGGGTTGCCCTCCTTTTGTATCGTTTAGGCACATTAAAAAGTATTGATATTTGGAATGCATACCTGTTGAAATTGTTTTTGCAAAATAACTGAGTTTCTTTTTTTTCCCCTGCTCCCTTTTAGACAATATTTTGCCGTTTTGAAGTTCTAGTAGTTGCCTGGAGAAATGAAACAACCCTGTTGAGTATGAGCTGTTAGCCTGAAAGCTATTGAAAATTTGCACACAAGTGTAAATGAGCTATGTTCAGAAGTGGAAGAAACTTGAAAAAGCACCTGTTTGAAAACTATTAATCTATTTCCTTTTACCTCTTTTGCAATGTTAATGGTGTTCCCTAATGTTCAAGCGATCTGCATGTGAACCAAATTGATTTACTTTTACTTTTCTGCAGTTTTAGAGTTGCAAAGAAACTTTGTAATGTATTATGGAATTTCACTGGACAACTTCATTTTCACATTCTGTTGGCTTATGTTTACTGCATATCTCTTTTAGGCATCTTTGAGAAACCAGTTTCATGGCATGTTATTCAGACAAAGTCCTGTAGTACACTTTGCAGTGAGAACTATGTTTAACTCTGTTATTCCTTTCGAGGAGGAAACACAGCTTTTAAAAATGTCAACTGATACAATAAATTCTGCTTCAAAAATTGTAAGACTGGTTAATTGAAGACCATTGCCTTATGCCCTTGTTAAATGAAGCCACTGGTGTTTAACTTGCTGATTTAATTAAACATGGAACTTTTTCTCTTAATTTCTTAACTGCCCATAAGTGAAAGAATTTACTGGCACCTGAAAGTGACTTGGTAGACTGTCATTATTGGGGGAATTACTGATTTATACAAGTTTAAAAAAACTCCTCAATTTTTTGAGGTTCCATTGGCAGAAATTGTAGCCATGCATCTCTCTACATTATTATTGCATAGCTGGATACTGCAATTTTCGTTCATCTTTTTCAAAATCCAGACATTAAATCAGGGAAGTGGTGATCTAAATGGTAAAGAATCATCCACTGGGATTTTGATCCTCTTCTTGTAAAGCCTGGATCTGCATATCTTGTTTATTGGTCTATGAGCTATATTGACCATTCTTGTTCATTCTCCAAATCTTGCATAAAGCTCAAATTCTCATCTTGCAAAAAAAAAAAGTAATTGCTACAGGAGTAGCATGAGGATGTGTGTTATCACTTAATCTGCTCAGTCACAGGAATTGATCAATTTACAGCCATGCACTCATGTTTCATCAATTACTGCCAGTTGAGTTCTCTACTGATTGGACCCTGTGCCTCCCTGTCAATTGGTCTGCTGTACAGAACAGTGCTTTTTTCCACGTGTCTGTACTATATTTGCAGTTGGAAGTTGGACTAAGACACCTCAGTATATCGGTATACCATTGATGGTAAGAAGGCACGGTTGTCTTGATAAGCAGGACATCCTGGTACCTTTCCCTTTTTTTTTTCTACACCAATGTTGATATACAAGAAGTTAAATCATCAGATTACCAGTGCCCAACCTGTTCTCAAGCGTGAGGTGATTTTGTGCTTATGCAATAGTGCAAACCACTCCCAATTGTTTCAGTTAGGAATTATCAATTAAAGGAATTTCTAACAAATACAGAAAAATAACAGTAAGGATGTTGTTCTTCAACTCCACCACTCTAACTTCTAATCTTTTATGATGTCCTTTCCCCCATTGCCCCAAAAAAGTAAGATCTATGCTTGCTCAGGTTAATTTTCTTTAGCATTCCTCATCCAGCCCATCTCCAGCTTTGCACCCTTGGGTCATTTCACTTGACATGGGCTCCTAACATCCTCGTTCTACAGCCAGGGGGTTGGACCTTTATTCACATTTCAGTAAACATTTTTGCTTTTTATGGCTGGGTGTTATTTTTCATGAAATCTAAATGATGCCTAAACTGGTTCATATCTAAGGTGTGAATAAAATATATTCATAATTTATTTTGATACTAAGCATATATATATATTTAAAAGTAAAGGCTTTGATGGAGACTATAATTTGCATTAAAAAAACATTAGGTGATTTTATAAATCTCTCTTCAATGTATAAATGGTACAGAAAACGTTATTTTCATCCAGGTACTTTAATTTAAGGCCTAGTGCTTTTAGGTAGTATTGTATTCCTAGGTGTCATATATGTTTCAGATTGTGTCATGTTTAGGGATTCCATTATACCACACTGTATCACTACAACATGGCTCGAGAGTCCTGGAATCAATTCAAACCTGGGTGTCTTTGTGAAGTCTGCATATTCTCCTCTTCACCTTGTTCAAGCTGCTTGATTCAAGTGGTTGACTTGCCACTTTAAATATTCTAATTTGGAGACTTTTTTCCCAGTTCAAGCTAGACTGACTGTGGGACTATAGTGAAACAAAACCCAATTTCCTTAATAGGACAAATAATTTTTCAATATTTTCAAAGTACATCACCTTATGGGGTAAGGTAAATACAGTACTTCTAAGAGGGTTAAGGGTCTTGCTCAGGGGCACATCAGAGTAGGATTCTACTGCCTGCTGTAGGATATGAACTGGCAACCTTCCAGCCAAAGGTGCAGACCCTTAGCCACAGAGCCACCGCACCGCCCAACTACATAAATAATACTGAAGAAAACTCCATTCCTTCAGCGTGGAATAAACCTTTACTTGTTCCTTTGCAGCCTACGCATGCAGATGCAGCAACCACTTGTACAGAAATAATGCCGATGATAATGACGTTCACAAGCGCTAGGGGGAGCTAATCAGATTTAGCGTTTCTTTCTCTTGACGTGGCGAATTGTAATTGCCGGTGACATCATGAAGGACGTTAACCAATAGCGTTTGAGCTGAGGTGGATTTCCTAGACCGGTAGTAACACGTCATTCCACGGGCGTCCAAGCAGCCGGTGTTCACTTCACATTCCTTTCATTCCCAGAGTTATTCCTTCAGTTTGTGTTTTTTTTAATTGTTCTTTCATTCCGATCTTTAGGTGTGATTGACAGTAGTTTCTGTCGTTTTTTTCACGTTTGTCTTCTTTTGAAGGTAGGTTCGGTTTCTTAGTATTTGTAGGCCGCTGATTATCTCGCTAAGCCTGCACCTAGCCTAACATTGATCCCGGTATAGGAAGGTAGGAAGTGGGGTGAGGGTTAATGGAGTAGAGCTTGCGAGGGTTAATAAGCACCGTGTTTTAACCTTGCCCGATGTATAACAACTACAGTTTAGCAGCAAGTTATAACATCAGTAGAGTCTTGTTCTCTTTGTACAAATTATATTTGTAGGGGGTTAAATGCAAGATACTACTGTGTGTGGAAAACAAATCACTAGATGTAATGAAGAAGGAGAATCGGAATCGCAGTATCAGTTCTTGAAATTGTAAAAGATTTCCCGTATTTGGAAAACCAGTGTAGCTGTTGGGGCAACAGCTTTATTACCAGTTTTTAAATGAACCAGGTTATTGATAGTTCAACATAAAATAGGGGAATCTGTAGTTGGTGCCGACCCCAGTTATGTCTACGCAAACATCCTGTTAGCAGGGAGTGGTGTTTGGAAAGGGGAGTCTTCCCCCCTGTTAAATTAGGTTATCTTGTGGCTGTTATCTGTCTGTATTGGGCAGTTCGGTTGTTGCCTTTTGTTTACTGGTGGCAGCTGTTAACAACCACTATTTTCGTAAAGAAAACGGATATCGTTGTTAATTCAAACTTAAAACTGATGGGATTTGTTTACCTTCAGCTGAGACTTGTGTGTGTATATATCCATTTTTAATAAACATGATCTGACAAGCGTAAATGTGAAAACTGACAGGCAGAAAGAGAACGTAGCTCGTTTACTAGTATCAAGCCAATTAAAACGTGAGAACCGCATCAGAATTTAGCCGAGTAGAACATGTTCTTATTCCGTGGAGTAAAGATTCGGCTCATTGTAAGGAATACTTGGTTACTAAGTGGAATTATAGAACGACCAGTGGTGGCTCTGTGGCTAAGGATCTGCCCCTGTGACTGGAAGGTTGCCGGTTCAAATCCCGTGGCCGGCAGAGGAATCCTACTCCGTTGGGCCCCTGAGCAAGGCCCTTAACCCTAACTGCTCCAGGGGCGCTGTACAATGGCTGACCCTGCGCTCTGACCCCAAGCTTCTCTCCCTGTCTGTGTGTCTGTGTCTCCATGGAGAAAAGCTGGAGTATGTGAAAAGATGAATTCCTAATGCAAGAAATTGTACAGGGCTAATAAAGAAACATTATTACATTATTACGTTCGTGAAATGGTAGACTTTACTGAACCATATGGTTGCTGTTGAGAAATGCCCGAAAAAGCGTATTTGCTGGATTTTGCTTAGCACAGGTGTGCTTTCTAAACTGAAAATCCAGGTGTGTCAGCTCTGACGCACTACCTGTCTAAAAATATCCCATTGAAGACGGTTTTACATCCGAAAACCTGTCTAACAGGTTTATTTTGACATCATAGCTGTTTCTTGATTTGTCCATTACGTGCTAGTTTCTGGACTATTAAAGTCACAAATATGCTTTGTAAGTAGCATTTTCTTTGTGGACCTGTACAGTTAAGGAACGGAACCGTAGTACCAGAAAGCTGTTCAGCAGTTGTGTGGGTTGTCATTATTGGTATGTAAATACTGTCTTCTTTTTGACATTTGATCATAAGACCTAGCTGGGTTTCTTAGTAGTATTTACCGCTTAATAGATATTTTCATATGGAACAGAGCTTTTTAACTTAGATTTTTTTTTTTAATTGTCACGAACTTAAAATTGGCTGGATTCGGAAAGTTATTGAATTGGTTGACTTAACCATTTTGAATTTTTATTTGTGATCTGTGTTTACTCAAAAACAAAACTGTTGTCTAAAATACACAAGTAATAGGTTGCCATTTTGCAACTCTTTATGGCTTTTCTTTTATTTCTATTGCTTTTTTAAAAGAAGGCACTTTTTTATTTTTCACACATTAATTTCATGGCCAGTACATTTTCTTGCCCAGGAGTGTCTGCACTATGAAAGTTTTATAGGTAACTTAAGAAGTGCCTACAGTAGCAATGCAGGCCAGTTGAATAATTAAGAGCTCTAGTGACTCTGAATGTTACCAAAGCAAAATATTTAGATTAACTTTTCAACCTATTATGGATAGATTCAGAGTGAGATAAAATGACTGGGAAGTGTAAGTCTTTGAGAGAGTTCAGGTGAGATGACTCCCAGAGTTTAATATGGGAATGTGTATCGCACCCCTGGAAAAAGGGAAGTACAAGACAACTGGAATGGTAGATGATAAAGAACAAGCGTTTTTTTTTTTTTGGTTGCATCATTTTCGAGCGGCTCAGGTTTATGATCTTGCTCTTTTTATAGCCTGTCAGATCTCATGGCAACATATCAGGAGTTCATCCAACAAAACGAGGAGCGGGATGGGGTGCGGTTCAGCTGGAACGTGTGGCCCTCGAGCCGTCTGGAGGCCACCAGGATGGTGGTGCCCCTCTCCTGCCTCTTCACCCCTCTGAAGGAGCGTCCCGACCTCCCTCCTGTGCAATACGAGCCCGTGCTCTGCAGCAGACCCAACTGCAAAGCTGTGCTCAACCCCCTCTGGTATGCTGTCTGTTAAAATTTCAGCCATGACATTTCTGTGTAATCATACCCACTATGACGTTTTCTTTATGAACCGTTTCACTGGAGTTTCTTCCAGTACTTTCACAAGGTAGGACTGACGGAGCTTAAACAAGAATCCTCAGCTTTGTCTTTTCTGATTCAGAATTGATTTTCACATTTCTTTTATCTGAGGTCCTTTGGATTACTTTGAACCTCATAAAACTGGATTTTGAAGACCGTTATATGCCTAAAATTATGTAACATTGGGGAATTCAAGATACCCTTTTCACTTAATTGGTGTAAATGTAACTGTTTTTTCGCTTTACTGATGGTCTTATCGGATGCAGTGAACAATATACTTTATACAATTTTTTAATTTTATGTCGGTGAAAGGATTCATATTAAGGTAGAAGGCACTAAAATGTCCCATGCAAACAAACTAATTCAATATAAGGTAGTGTGAAATATTCTGGATATTTAGGGGGACTAGATGATCTTTATGGACAGAATAATTTGATCTCATCTGTGGCCTTTCTGATGTTGGGTATGAGCAGTCAGTTTAGGACTGGAGTAATGAACTAGCTTAGGAAAGGTTGAGATTTGCATTGGCTGGGTAAGGTTGCTATGGAGGCTGGCCCAGATGGAGTTACGAAATTCTAAACGGGGAAGCACCTGAACTGGCTTAGGTGTTGTGTATAATAGTTGGCAAGGTAGGGGTGAATTCAGAAAATATGGAGCATACTACAGATAAAAAAAGCCTCTTATTATGTAGGGTGGTCCATTTGCAGTTCTGCAGGGCTCGTTTTCTAAGTCTCTTTAAAGCAACAACATTTGAATACCTGAGAGACGTTTATAAATTGGTCCAGTTATGACCACAAGGAACAGGTGTTCATTCTGTGCTGAAAAGTAAAGAAAAGAAACACACATTTCATCAGTGACGTCTTCTTTCTCACCTGAAGAAGGCTCCACAGCCAAAACGTCATGTTTCTTTTCTTTACCTCTCGGCAAGGAGTAAACCTTTACCTTTTCCTTTGCAGCCTACCATGCTGACGCAGCTCCCTACTCAAACATCTTCAGTTAGGCCAGTAATGAGCTGGTTTAGATCTTTAAGATCAGTTGGAATAAAAATGTAAAGAAACCAGCCTTCCAGGAAGAGAGGCGTTTGAGCGTCATACATCTTTTTTTTGTTACACCTGTTCCGCAGTACAGGGTAAAACTATTCAAGCAATGTGAAGAGGTATGTCACAAATATACAGCTGCCTACCCTTTTTTTTTTTGCAAAGTGACGGTGACATTTTTTTTCTCCTCTTTGCAGTCAGGTTGACTTCAGGGCCAAACTGTGGGCATGCAACTTTTGTTTTCAGAGAAATCCAGTGAGTATTTAACTAATCAAATACAAAGGTATTCTGGTGTGGTAGCGATTTAGCGTGAAATCAGTAAAAACTTACTGTGTTTACACTTGTTTTTCTTCTACAGTTCCCCCCAGCATATGCAGGTATATCAGAGGTCAACCAACCAGCTGAGTTAATGCCACAGTTCTCTACTATTGAATACATTGTACAGGTAAATGTATGCACCATTTATTACTTGTAGAAACTTGACAGGTCTTAGGAGTTCTGTTATGGTTGTGATTAAAATAAGTATAACGGTTAGATGACTTGTATTTTCCAAGTAAAGTAACCAACTTTCAAATAAATGTGTGAAATCATGGTCTTAATGCTATACATGAGCAAAGTGGCTTACATTTTTATTAAAAATATTACGCAGACAATCTGTGCTTGTTAGTTTTTATATTTTTGTAGTTCTGCAGACAATGGTGTGTACTGAGACTAATGATTGTTTGATCTTACAGCGTGGTCCACAGACTCCTTTGATCTTTCTATATGTTGTGGACACCTGCTTGGAAGAGGAAGACCTTCAGGCCTTGAAGGAGTCTTTACAGATGTCGCTGAGTCTCCTGCCTCCTGATGCCTTAGTAGGCCTGATTACCTTTGGCAGAATGGTGCAGGTGCATGAGCTTAGCTGTGAGGGCATCTCCAAGAGCTATGTTTTCAGAGGAACTAAGGACCTGTCTGCTAAACAAATCCAGGTCAGTAGTTAGACATTGTAGGTAAAATGTCACATGCATAGGTATATGCCAAAAATTGTTTTGCACTTTCAAAGGGTGTTAAAGAAATACATGTATTTTGCAGGAAATGTTGGGCCTTATGAAGCCTGTAGCACCAGTGCAACAGGGAAGGCCTGTTCAACCTCAGGATGTGTCTGTCTCCAGCAGGTATTGTGAAAGCTTACCCTTTTTTTTACCCTACAAATGTTATTGTAGTCCAAGAACCATCTCAGTGAATTTGCATAAGTTGAATATTTGGCAAATTATGTATATTTGAATTATGTTAAAACCTTGACAGTTTTTTAGTCTTCATTTCATTCAGTGTGAAGTAAAAAGCCTTTTGTTAAAGGTGGCATCTAGAATATTGTTTTCTTATAACACTGTCAGAAATCTGCTAAATATTCCATTATTTCTACAGTTTTAAGATCTTTCTTTAAAAATGTATTGATGTGCATCTTAAATGTTGCTCTAGGTTTTTGCAGCCTGTGCATAAGATTGATATGAATCTCACTGACCTGCTTGGGGAGCTGCAGAGGGACCCCTGGCCTGTACCACAGGGAAAACGACCCCTCCGATCTACTGGAATTGCCTTGTCCATAGCTGTGGGCCTGTTGGAGGTAGGCTTTTTACTTTATTTATGTGCTCCTAGTTTACTCTCAGCTGTATGGTGTCATTCCAACCACTTATTTAGGTTAAATCTTAAAGCATTGAAAGTTACAAAAGGAGATAATTAAGATTTGACATTGTTGTCTGTGAATTCCAAGTAGTTCATGGATGCTTTAATCTGTGTTGTGACGCACTTAACTATTTTCTTGTGTTAAATGAAAATCATCATTGCATTCATCTGAAATGAAATGTCTTAAATGTCTGCTGAATCTTTACTAAGAGCTCTTCACTGTTTCAGGGTACATTTCCAAACACTGGGGCACGTATAATGCTCTTCACTGGTGGCCCTCCAACTCAAGGTCCAGGAATGGTTGTTGGAGATGAGCTGAAGACCCCAATTCGCTCCTGGCACGACATAGAGAAGGACAATGCACGCTACCTGAAAAAGGCCACAAAGGTATGACTCTAAATTGAAAAGGGGGAAACTGTCCAACCACAAGTGCTTAATAGTTTTATGAAGGTTTGATTTTGCAGCACTCTGTGATCACATTCTTAATAGGTGAGTGCAGGTGGCTGGTGAATTTGAATGTCATTTTATATTTAAGGATGTGGATGTATTAACATGAAACTGAAAATGTATCTGTTACCGGGCTGGTTATTGTTAATTATTTTGTGTTTTATTTTTATTTTTCTCTGCAGTATTATGAAGCTTTGGCCAACCGTGCTGCAGTGAATGGTCACTGTATCGATATCTATGCCTGTGCTTTGGACCAGACAGGTCTTCTGGAGATGAAGTGCTGTTCAAACCTTACAGGGTACTGTGTTGCTTCCTGTTATGCATTTATACATAGTTTGTATACAAATTGTAAGAAATTGCAAAGGAACAAACTAATTTAACGTTACCAAAACATTGTGTATTTACACAGTCATGTTAAAAACTAGTGTAGCCTTTGTATTTTGCATTTTAATCTTTTGTCAGTTGTCAAAGACCTGCTCTAGTTCATGTACCCATAAAAGAAATATTAATTCTGTAGTTCTTTATCTACGTTTTCCTGTAGAGTGAGGTTAACTAAATGTAAAAAGGTTAAAATCGTTAAGATCATGTGCAAAATTAAAGTAGCTGTTTTTTTCCTTGTTTTAGGGGATACATTGTGATGGGGGACTCTTTCAACACTTCTCTTTTCAAGCAGACCTTCCAAAGAGTCTTCAGTAAAGATTACAATGGTGAATTCCGGATGGCTTTTGGGGGCACTTTGGAAGTTAAGGTAACTTATTTTCAGTTGTTCTACAAACTCTCGGTTTACATTTTATTTTTAATAAAATTCCAACTAATAAAAAAGCAGGAAGGTGTATGCACAGTCGTGAAGGTTCATTTATATATTTTTTTTCACTTTTTCAGACAACAAGGGAAGTCAAGGTTTCTGGAGCAATTGGCCCCTGCATTTCCCTTAATGTAAAAGGACCATGTGTGTCAGAAAATGTAAGTCTTTTGTATTTTGTATCTGTTTTAAGAAACATGAATTTGCTGCCCTCAACTGCACTCTTCCATTTTCTTCAATGTTAAAGCTCAAGTCCTAAAATGCTCTCTTGTTCACTTTTGTCAGGAAATGGGAGTGGCCGGTACAAGCCAGTGGAAGGTGTGCAGTCTTAACCCATCCACAACACTTGCAATGTATTTTGAAGTTGTTAATCAGGTATTGATTCTGATTTCCATGTATAATGTTATAATGCTTTTGATGCTGAGGTTTAATGTTCCTGTGTCACAGGAAAGGAAAATGTGCTTATAGAATACAAAGAGCACAAAGAAATGAAGACATCTCAGATGTATGTGAGATTGGGTTGCAGTTGTCTGACTAATGGTTTTGTGTGTCACTTTATAGCATAATGCACCAATACCTCAAGGAGGAAGAGGAGCTATTCAGTTTGTCACACAGTACCAGCATTCCAGCACACAACGACGAATCAGAGTTACTACAGTTGCTAGAAAGTAAGTTTATGTGAAATGGTAAACATTTACCGTTTTAAAGACTTGTTGAAAGCTTACAAAGAAAACTATTTAACACAGACTTTCTAAAGGTTTGTTATAATTAAAGTTATCAAGTTTGTCCCATATAATTTAAAGGATGGTTGCATAAATTGCAGTTTTTAATTGCCTTTTGCAAAGCCATTGGGATGTGACATTGAGATGTGATTAAAATGCATTTTAATCTTTGGGGAAAGGTTAATGGTTTGAAATGACAGGCAATAAACCTTATAAGCCTCCCACTGAAGCTGAAAATTACTGTTCATTTCCTGAGCTATGTTTAGCCTTCACTAGGCCTGAGACAATGTTCAAAGTTCATTCTATGTTTAAATGGCTCTTTATTGATCTGAAAATTTAAGTGCTTCTACTTTTTAACTCAAGGAGGATTTGTAATCAAAATGCTTTAAAACCTCTGTTAATTTAGTGTGAAAAACCTTACACCTGCCAAAAGTGTCCTTACCAATCTAAATACTCATATATCCTAATTTGGCTGGTTTCCTTTATCTAGCTGGGCAGATGCACAATCCCAGCTTCAGCACATAGAGGCATCATTTGACCAGGAGGCATCAGCTGTGTTGATGGCACGACTAGGTGTATTCAGAGCTGAATCTGAAGAGGGACCTGATGTCCTCAGATGGCTTGACAGGCAGTTAATAAGGCTAGTAAGTATTAGTCTGTTTACATTTCAATCTAAATTGAACCATTTCTGGTTGTCTATTATAAAATTTGTACTCAAACATGAGCAAATAGACAGTGAAATTTACTTTCACATTTTATTCACAAATCTATATTGCCTTTTCTTGCAGTGTCAGAAGTTTGGACAGTTCAATAAAGATGACCCTAATTCTTTCCGGTTGTCGGAGTCATTTTCCCTCTACCCACAGGTAAGGATATGACTGTTGAATATTAAAGCTATATTTTGAGGTTATTTTATAATGGCACATTTTAATTTTGACATTGTGTGAACCATACCTTATAAAATGTCTGTATTTTACAGTTCCAGTAGTATTGCAATTGGCATTAAGAGGTTTTCTATGTACCTTTGTAGAATTCCATGTAGAAATGATCAAACTATTAATGTTTCCAACAACTTCTAACCGTTAGTTTCCATTTTGTTTCTAGTTCATGTTCCATTTGCGGAGATCACCATTCCTTCAGGTGTTTAATAACAGCCCAGATGAATCATCTTACTACCGCCACCATTTTGTAAGACAGGACCTGACGCAGTCACTGATCATGATCCAGCCTATTTTGTATTCCTACTCCTTTTATGGACCTCCTGAGGTGAGTTTTTGGATATGTAATTATTTCTGGTATGTGGAGTATGTATTTGTTTCTTGTCTCAAATGACAGGTTTGTTAAAATGTGTGGATTTGTTAGAATATCACTCATTGAAGACAAACAGCCATGTAAATTGGAAGGAATGAGAATATCTCTCATGTGTTGTTGCAAATTTGTCTTTCAGCCAGTGCTTCTGGATAGCAGCAGCATTCTACCAGATAGAATTCTACTAATGGACACATTCTTCCAGCTTGTGATCTACCATGGAGAGGTAATGCATTTTGAATGTAATGGTTTTACACATATTGAATGGGGGTGGTAGCTTAATACGTGTGCGTATTTGATAGTCTGAACTAAAGAAACCTCAAATGTTTTCTCAACAAGAATTCTAAGTTTTTGGGTCTTATTCACGTTGACAGACTATCGCACAGTGGCGCAAAGCTGGCTACCAAGAGATGCCAGAATATGAAAACTTTAAGCAGCTGCTTCAGGCTCCTTTAGATGATGCCCAAGAAATCCTGCAAACCCGGTTCCCAATGCCTCGTTACGTTGACACAGAGCATGGTGGCAGCCAGGTATGCATTTTTCCCTACTGAATGTGAGGCATGACATCGGAGATTCAACTAAAACTCCAAAATGATTGCACACTCCTGAGTAGATGTGCATGTTTATCATTACGATTTCGGTTTGTTTCTTAATATTATAATAGAAATTTTATTTTTTAAATAATTTTCATTAGTTTAATTATATGTATACCTAATCATGCTTTTTTGGCTCTGTATGTAGGCTCGATTTCTCCTGTCAAAAGTGAACCCATCACAGACTCATAACAACCTTTATGCGTGGGGACAGGTGAGTAGTTCATAGTTCATTTCAAAACAGTGAATGGTCACATTCCTCAGAAATGCACAGGAGAAAAGGGGGGAGATGCTAAAATATAAATGAGTTTTGGAAATGTAGTATTGTTTTGTTTAATTGATCTACATTGTTTGATTTAAGAGAAAATATTTCAGTAAATGGAAACCTTATGTATTTTGTGACGAGTGTTAATTATATCTACAGTGGAACCAAATTCATATTCTGTTTTTTGTGTTTTGTAGGAATCCGGAGCGCCCATCCTAACGGATGATGTCAGTTTACAGGTGTTCATGGATCATTTGAAGAAACTGGCTGTTTCTAGTGCCTCGTGATTGCCATAATATGATCTGCTGAAGGGCTTTTTTGTGGGACCTACTGACATTTCAAATTAAGAAACTGAAATGGTTTTATTTTTGTAACAAATAACTTATGGCATGAAAAAAACGACAGTTCTAGAAATGTGAAAAGGGTCAACCATCTTTTTGCATTCTTCACACCTTTTTATAATTCCTTTCTTTTTCACCTTAAGGAAATTAGTGAAGATTAATTGGTTTAGATATAGTAAGCTTAACTGTACTATACTAATTGTTACAGAAACCTTTCTGTATATTTCTACAAATTAAGGTATTATATAAAATGCTTTTAAGAATAGCAAGTTCTTAAAAAGTGTCCTCTTGAGACCATCGTTGTGAAACCATTGTCATTATAGAACGTTTTCCCTCTGGTTTTGAAAAGTAGATGACTTGCTCATTGCTCGATGACAAGAGACATGCAACATAATGTAAGGTTTAGGAAAGTAAGTGTCAATTTCTGCTTTGCACAATGTGAAGATCTTGCAGTAGTTGTATTCTACTTGTGGGTTTGTGAATATTTCAATTGTCTATATTGTAAAAAAACATCTTTCTCTGGACTTGTTTTAGTTCTTTGCTTCCATATTAGAACAGATAAAATGCAAATAAAAACGGAAAGGAGTGTCATTGCATTGTTTGGGCAAAAAGCTTCATTTATAGTAAACAAATAATGATGCATTAGAATCTACTAATGGCATTTTCCATGCACAATAAAACAGAAGAAGTTTGTCAAGTCATTGTTTTCTCTTTATATAAGACTGGTATGTTGCACAGTTTTCCCGTCAAAGACTGAGATGACACGTTCTTCCGCATTGGTTTCGCTGGCTCGGTTTTTTTTTTTAAATATGCACAATCGACATTTTTTTCAACATTGAGCAGTGTTTTGCTAATCTTCCTTCATAATCTTGGAATGAAAGTTCCTGGATCATGGTCTGCGAACAGATTGCTGAGCTATCGTTTCCAAAAGAAAGGGAAGTATGGTCAGCAACAAACGGTTATCTTTTCATGCTGCACAAAACGGAATATAAACGTGACCTAGTAATAATACGGCAGTTTTATTTTCTTATAGAACGTTGCATTTTATATTTTATAAGCATTTTATAGGCCGTTAATACTTACATTTGTGGATCTTTCATCAGATTTAGCAGATTCAGAGCGACATAATTGCTCTTTTTGTAGAATTTGCCTGAGTTTGCTTAATTTCTCCACGTATATCCTTCTGGAAAACAGAATTTGAAAATATGAATTGAAATTAGTTTGCATTAACTGACATACTGCCTTACAACCAACACCAAGGTTAAAGGAACAACTTTTAGAATCGGTTTATCGTGTTAAACTAGAACATTATAGAGTGAAACATGAACATGACGATTTATGCGTGTTGTGTAAGGCTAGAAATTAAATTTGCACTTTTTTTTACTTTTTTGGAAAGACATTCAAAAATTTATCGTTAAGCATTTAAAATCACGTTAGATCTAAGGAGTTTAATACGTTATACTTTACAATGCGTAATGTGGAAAAAGAACACTTAACCAGTCAGTAATGATGGGTAGATATATTCACGAAACAAACGATGTATGTAAAATGTTAATTTATGGTGTTGTGATTTTTAATTCCGTCTGGCGCCGTATTGTTTTGGTTCACTTTTATGATTTTTTTTCATCACCTGTACTTTTGGATAGCTTGTCTCCTTTAGTTGTATTATTTGATATACAACACGACAACTATGACGTCATAGTTATAACGTCATTTATTATGTTTCATAAAAGTGGAAAAAAACTTAAACTAAAACATATGCACTTGGACAGCTAAACTGAAGAATTCAAACCAGGTTTCTCACAGATGTACGTAAAAAAGTTTTTACATTTTTTATTACACGTATAAAGAATTTATCAATACAACCAGAGGATCAGAACCGGGTACAAGAGAAACAAAACACAAACAGAAAACAAAACAATTAACTGCCAGAGGTAATGAAGTAAAGTATGTGATCAAATTGTATTTTTTACATATATCAAATGTTTTCCTTGCTTTAGCATTTTTCAGTTTTTATAGCATTTGAAGTGTTTCAACTCCACCTCAAAAGTGCTAAAAAGGGGAGTATTATTAGACGATTTTTATTTATGATGTGAAATTTACCCAGAATTACTAATTGACTATAAATGCTAATTTTCCAAATTTTCTATTAAACAGTACAATAAAATATCAAAATCCTTAAATCTAAAAAGCACCTTTAACTGCATGCTAAAAAAACTCTGCACGTCCGTCCAAAACAGCTTCACAAACCTACACCTAACAAATGCACCAAAAATTTCATTTCAACTCGACAAATAAATCGTTCTGCTAGATTTACGTAAATTTGCGTGACGTGAACGCAACCTGTGTGACGTCACCACAAAGGACCATAAAGACGTGTCCAATGAGATAGGATTTTCTTGTCAATATGGCGGCGTCCTTGAAGCAAGCTTTTTTAAGTATATTTTTTTTTTATTTAAACACCAGGCAAGCTTGCATTTAAGATAGCGACATTAAGCGACGCGAATGATCCGGTAGTATGTGTAAATAACCGAAATTCAATCAAAATTAAAGTCCTTCAACTACCAAAGTAGCGTGAAGCTAAGCCTTCTGCCCTTGTACTACATATGCAAAGGGTGGCCATTGAGCAATCTGAGCACACTGTCAAAACTAAAATGAATCTCAAAGATATTGCCAAGTGGAATACCCGAATGTCATTTTTGTATGCGTTAGGCACTTGGACCATGTTCGGAACGCTCGGCTATTACCAGCTGCGGGCTAAGTGGGACAAGAAGGACGAACAGGAAAGCGCCAGTGGTACGTCTTGTGTTTCGCGATTTCAGAAATTGCTGAATTCGTTAAGTTATGATGTGGCGTAGTGTAAAATTAATAGATTTTATCCGTTTGTCATCCGGTGGCGACGAAACTGATAAAAGCGGTGAACTGCTGGTCTCCAGTAACTGGAGAAAAGCGCTGGTCAGACGAAGTGCGCACCTGAAGCGGGGCTGCTGAAGCTCTGTTTTAAATATTAAATATTATTATTTAATTATTATAAATATTAAAGTTATGCTGGACCTCACGCAGCACGTCGTTTCTGTGCATAAAATACGATTTTCTATACCATCAATAAGTATGCTATAAACATTCATGAGCGGACAAATATGCAACTTTTTCTTTATTCTAATGTTAGTTGTGATGTGCCTTCAAAATGTGAGTATAACTGTACCACTTAGCACTGTATCTATAAAAGAACTATGCTGGAGTCGCAGGAACTGATGGGTGTGCAAAACTCCTAAAAGGCCCATTAGTAGCGTGATGCTAGTTACATTTACTAAATGATTTAGCAACGCCAGCTTGGCAACACCTTTCAAAAATAAAAGTCCCCTAATACCTGCCTCAAAAAAAAATCCTGAACAAGGTAAGTCACATTTATAGCACAACAACAGTTTGTACATCCTCAAAACTAGGTGGAATGTGATAAAGAGACCCACAGATAATAGGAAATTGTCGTTCTTCTTCATTCATTTTTTGCCATCTTGTGATCTTTTTGGTATTTTTATATCACTTCCTCTGTGCAAATTTACACAGTGCTGTGCACGGCTAAACGGGGAAAAAGTCTAATTCCGGACAAAAATACCTCAGATCTATTCTACAGACCCACAGATAATAGTTCATAACCATTGTTTTGTCAGATAAGTGTCTTTGCAAATGTTGCTGGGGTTTGAAGGCAGCTTCATGCTACTTGGCCATTCCCTACTGCCGTGTCCAGTAAACTGCACACATTCAAACCATTGAAGCTGTATTTGTATTGTAATTGTTGAGCACTGTTATGTGTTGCAATACATGTAAGTATAGAAATTGCTGCACTGAGAACTAGAATGTGTTTATTACCACTGCTTTAATATATAATTTATTTGTTTAGATATTCCTGAAACAAACCAGGATGAGGTGGAAATGAACAAACCACGCTTCACATCTACGATTATTTATAAGGAAAACTTCACACCCTATTCAGTCAGGATTTCCAACTATCTGAAGTCCTTCAGCAATAACATGGGAGATGAGGAAGGAGCACGCGCATCTGGAAAGTGATGATGCATATCTCCCAGTCAAGAGACTATCGTTCTCAAGAGACATGGACATTTAAAGAATTAACTTAAAAATACTTCTCTGTACATTTTGCCAATTTTCGAAAGAAAAATGATATTAAAAGTAAAGATTTGTTGGCTTTTGTATATATTGTGTTAGGTATTCGTCATTTGAAGTAATCTTGCAGAAAACGGATGGTCACTTTAAGCAGATAATTATTTGATCCTAAAAATACTTTAATAAGGAATGTATCTTTTGTGGACAGAGAAAATCAACGTATAAATTAATAAAATTGTTTTAAGCCTTCTCACAAACCTGTAAAAGAAGTTGTGTATTTGACAGCAGTTGTATTTGATAAGCAGGAGGATTTGTGTTTTTGTTAATATACTTAGAAAGGTGGCAATTATAGGATTTTAACCATCATTGCACAACATTTGTGTATCGGCTTTAAAAAGCACCTGCATTCTTCCAAGATGACTTATACCTGAAATCTGAGTTCAAAACAGGAAGGAGGAAGACCTGAACAAACTCCATGGATGGAAAGAAACGTGGTGGGTATTTTACAACCCCTGGCATTTGGTAAAATCCAAAGTTTAGCACGTGGAATTATTGTATCAAAATAAGATGTTCTTTTCTTTGAGGTCTGAGAAAGTAACTGTATAACTATCACTTGATTTAATAAGGAAATAATACAGCAAGAAAATCAAATGATATCTTCTGAGCACTGGCTTAGTAAAGATGAGTAGGAAGAAATACAAGTAAATAACAAAATACAAAATTGTCCACAATGCTATTCTGAACTGAATAGAAACTGAAGTATTCTTTCTTAAATATATTTTATATAACACCATGATAATCTTAACATTATTGCAATTATACTTGTAACCTTATGCCTGGACTGAAAGCACTGATGACCTTGAACATGAACTTTCTTGCCATATGTAAATGGTACATGTACTGGTACAATGGAGTTCTTGCAGAAAGTCTTGATTGTTAAGAAAAGTGTAAAAAACAAAGTGCAAGACAGTGCATCAAGACAATATACAGACAAACAGTAGACCAATGTACAAGTAAACAGTTTGAATGTAAACAATGCAGACATGTAAACAATGACTGCAGATGTGCAATAAATAAAATTACAATGAGGTTGATGGTGTAGTTGTGGTCCAAGGGGCATGGCCAAATGTGTTTGCCTATTGCACTGCTTGTGGGTAGAAGCTATTGACGAATCTAGTGGTAAGTGTCCGTATGCTTTTGTATCTCTTGCCTGAGGGCAGTGGGGAGAAGAGCTCATGCCCGGGGTGGTGACAGTCCTCTGTGATGGCAGAATTCTACCATGGCAGCGGGCCTCATAGAGCTGTTTAATCTCTGTGAGACCACAGCCGATGATCTTCTGAGCTACATTCACCATTCTCTGCAGTGCCTTTCTGTCTTGAGAAGAGGTGTTGCCGTACCACACTGTGATCCCGTTGGTGAGGACGCTCTTGGTGGTGCAGTGGTAGAAGTTCACCAACACAGGTACTGGCATCCCCCATCACTTGAGGCACCTCAGGAAATAGAGGCGCTGCTGAGCCTTCAAGATAATGTTCGTGTTCACAGGCCAGGTTAGGTCATTATTAGAAATGTGAATTTCCAAAAAACCTAAGCTGGTTTCCACTTCTGACCTCACATCTGTAAAATGTTACTTATGTTTAAAAGGCTGTTTCTTTAAAAATGTCAGTCTTTTAAAAAATACACTAATGCACTTATACTCAGGAAATATATTTATTCGAAAAAAAAATATTTATTCTGTATTTCCGTTTTCTGTATTATGCAATCACGTGTTTTCGAGATTGTATAATAACGCGGAAAACGTTTACGTAAAGTTACCGCTACTTTGTTTTAGAATCTCCATGGGTTGGGTTTTTTTAAAGTTATAAAACAGCTTTTTTTTTTTGGCAGAGAACACACTCGGTGCACAGTAACATTTTGACCAATACAAAGCGGAAAAAAACATCTCTACCGCAGACACGCTTCTTTTTTATTTAAATATTGAAATGTGACACCTGTTTCTGGAATAAACCCTCATTATTTGTGTGGAATAACTGGTTGACCAACATGGGCACATTGTGTAACCCAGTTGAAAAAAAAACTGGAAGCCTTGCATTGCTGCAGAAGCGCTACCTGATGACGCCTAGTGCTGCTCCGGAGGAGATAAATTCTGCAGCACCAGCGACGCTGAAGTCTCAAACGGCTTGGGAGAGAGAATCGCAATGAAGAACTCAAGTGTGGCGCTCCTCGCTCTTTTCGGAGTTTTAGTTTCTGGATATAACGAAGAGAAAGAAACTCACGGGTCTTCTCTCTGGTTCTGTCATAAACTGGACTGTCCAGAATACACTTTGGTGAAGAAGCATGAGGTGATTTGTTGTTTATCGTTCAGGAAATAGTAACTTGTTTTTTTTTTTCGTTTGAGCGTATCACGTTCCGCTGGAGATTGACGCAGGTCTTCTATATTCTAAAGATCCTGCAAGTCTTTTAAAAACCTCTGTGCTGTTATATAGCAATTAAGTACACACAATTCTGTAGACGGGACATTGAAACGGGATGGAATGATAAACTATAAATTGGGAAAAAAACGTGTAAATTCAGCATTATGCTTTTTCTGAACTACAATACGCCATTAATCATCGTACATAGTAAATGTATAATACGTATGTACTGTATGTTTATTCTTTCCAATGATCTGGTCATGTAATGTTGTTGTTGATTTGTCCTGAAAAGTAATTTCGGGTTGGAATTATAGTGAACAGTTGACCAACATTGCTTGCATACTGCACACCGGCTGATCACTGATTTTCAACTCAGTAATGGTTGAATATGTTAATATCTTTCAGTTTTAAAATCCCGATCCGTTTTAGAATCTCTACGAACAAAGAGTCATACGATAAATTATTTAAAGAAATAACAACTGTTGCAATTTTCCTGCACTTCTGTTTACGTACTTTGGATAATATGTGCGGGTTGCAATGAAATGTGTGGCCCAGTTACTCGTAGTAAGGGCGCAAAATAGTGTAGTGTAGGCTGCACCTACTCGGAATTGCTAATCAATACATTTTTTTCCTGTTTTTAAATATGAATGTGAACAGCTCTAATGTGAAGTCGGGTTTGCTGTGCCTTTCAACAGACCTTTGAAGAGCGATACTATAATGCCAGCAGATGGATGACGACAGAGGTAGAAGGAAATTACAAGAGCGCTGTTAACAAAGGTTTCATGCGCCTCTTCTATTACATAGGTGGAAACAATGAAGCCGGTAAGGGGAAAAATATTTCGATTAAAAAAGCTTTTTTCTGCATCTCCATTCAGACTTTTTACAGGTTGAAAGCCCTGGCAATGCTTGAACCTGACACAATGCAAGCAGGATTAAAAATATAACCAGTATAGCCCTGGTTTCAGGATGCTCTGGCCCTTAACTCTGAATACAGATTGATACATCTGCAAGTTTTTCCCCACAGATGACCTGAAATCAAATGTTTGACTTTTTCAGGGATAAAGATTCCTATGACTGCCCCGGTTGCTGTTGTGGTGCATCCCCCTACCATCGACGGGAATCCAAAGAACATCTCTGTATCCTTCTTCGTCCCTGCAAAAAGCATTCCGCCAAAACCAAAGGACCTTACAATTCATGAGTTAAATTTGACTGGCAGCACTATGTATGTTCGGTAAGTCGGCTATAGTTGCTATTAGATGAAAAGAAAAATACAGAGCAAGATAACGTTGAAAGTGTAACTGTAAATCTGTTTTGCCCTTTCCACAGATCTTTTGGTGGATTTGCCTCGGAGTCAGATTGGACTGAAAACGCCCAAGCGCTCGAGGCTGACCTGAAGGCAGCTGGCATATCCTATGATCCTGTCAGCTATGTAGCAGCTGGTTATGATTCTCCATTCAGGCTCTTCAACAGGCACAATGAAGTTTGGTTCCACGGGTTGAAGATGGAGAATGCGGAGAAAACTGAAAACGCTTGAGCCTGATTATACATGGAATGGAACCTGTTATGGAAATGAATGACGTTTGTCTGCCAGAAGTAAAGATGGACAGTAATTTAACTCCTGATGATGTGCAAAGATGCACTTTTCACAGGTGTGAATGTGTGCTAAGTAAAACTTTCATGCCTGACAAAAATGCACATCCAGTTCCTTGCAGTTTTGTTTAACAAGTCTTTGAATGTGACAATGTTGTATAAAGGGATTATTGTAAATGTATTACAGGGATGTGCTTATATGACCTCTAGTGCTTCAGATAACGCTTGAGTAATTAACTAATCTTAATGTAACTGAAATCTTCTTTAATGAGCAAAACAAACGTATTGAAATAAAGGAGCACTATTTGTAGTGCAGGAAACAATTTGTCTTTGTAATTTTACATCGTTTGGATACTATTTTAAACTGAGCTCCCATGGTGCGTTTCTGAAAAGTAAAGAAAGTTTCTTGACTATGCAACGGTGTGCACTTTTACAATCCAACCTACCTAAAGTTCCTCCTTGATTCAATGGGTGAAGCAATTTATTACTTTTCTACTTGCTGTGGTGCTACCCCCAAATAACGGCTTCTGTGCACGTGTGCTGCACATCGGTGGTGGTTGAAGTAGATTTCCCCTATATGTGAATTGCTTCAAGTTTATAGGTACTTTTCATCCCAGTTAGTTATTAAAATAATTCTAGAAAAGTAAGCACCAGAACATTAAAACATTTCCTTCCCTTTGGGATATTGATTTAAAAAAAATTTTAAAACCTGAAACTACAAAATGTTGACTCTATATGTGTTATATTTGTAGGATAATTGGTTTCTGGGATGACTGGCCCTGGTGTGTGTGTGTGTGTGTGTGTCAGTGTGTGCCCTCTGTTGGAGTGTCCTGTCCAGAGTGTGTCCTGCCCACCCAAGTGGATGCTGTGCTCCAGTAGTGAACAAACAAATTAAGTCCATTCATTTTGATAAAGAGAACTAGGATGCTCTTGGATGAATTCAGAAATGAAAAGGAAGTATTATAACTAATAATTTGTCATTGTAATTTGTGATAGCAACAAGCTGGCCACAAATGGATTTAACAGTCCCCATATATACAAAAATATAAGATCCGAAACAAAATTTACAACATTCGTGTTATTTTAGTCATAAATAATATCTGAGCACATCAGCTAATGTCTTATTTGGGGATACTTAAAGTTGAGTTAATGTCAAGAGCCTATTAATTCTTCCACAACAAGAAAGCCAAATATTACCACGCATTAAAATTGTCCATGGTGCATTCAGCAAGAACTACAACAACAATAATTAAAGTGCTGCTTTATGATACAAAGAACTGTCTTAGAATTTCATTTTGCAGGAATGTGTGCTGTAATACCTCTCAGGGTTTGACAGAGGGCGCTAGCCGGTAAGATTGCGCTCTATTCAGTGTCTGTGGAGCCTTTGTAAACTGAAACGCGGTTTCAACCTAGAGGCTACATCGCAGTGGGGGAATAAAATCATGAAAGCAATCGTTCAGAGGGTTTCAAAAGCCAGCGTGACAGGTTAGTAAACAAACTTTTAGAATTTGCCTGGCGTGCTTAATATACATATACACTTGGATTCCTGGTGTGTACATTTTCATTATCCGGTGGGTTGGCATTGCAGGCCGTGTATTGGCTAGTGCAGTTGTTTGCTCTAATAATAGAGCTTAATTGAAAGAGTTTGTATGTGTATGTTTTTAAGATGCATTGTTTTTAAAAGGCAATCACATTTCAGTTCAGTTTGCTCTGCGCCAAAAGACCAGATCGTATACGCCGGACAGATGAGCGCAAGGATAAGCACGCGTATTGAGTTGAAGACTTCTGCTGGGTTTCATTGGAAAAGCCGGTTACTCTGCTTCCTTCTTTACATGGAGGTGGGCGGTATTGACGCAGCTTGTTGCTCAGTGGTTCCGACTCTTCTACTGTTTTTATTTGGGCAACTACAGCTGTCCAGGCCTTGGTGCAATGCACTTTTCAAGCAGTATTACATACGGAAATGAAGCAGAAAAGAGAGGAACTGAATGCCTTTGTCAGGCACCTATCGTGGTAGCATTAATAAGGCCCGAAACAAATACAGTTGCTGTTGCTTAAAGTTGATTGTAAAAATGCACTTATTTCAAGCAATAGAGTATATTTACGTTCATGCGTTGTTTTGATCTCATTGATGGGCTTTCATTGGATAACAATAGACAGAAGCGTAATGAAAGACCTTGACACACTGTTATTGTAATAATCAAACAGGTGTTACATATTATCAACAAAAAGTCAGTTACTTTTTGTTTTGAGAATGAGTTTACCAGACAACACCCTGTTTTCTAAATAATAGAAAGAAATATATACAAACCTTTGAACAAACAGTTTCTTATGATACCCTGTTTTTTTAAAGTACCTGCACAAACTTTCTACTACATTAGCAAGCTGAAAAATTATATTTACGGTATAGTATGACGAGGTGTAATGACAGCAGTATCTTAAACATTACAGTCATTTAAAACAATGAAGTGCTGTTGAATAACGTTTCTACAAATTATTATTATTTTTTTTTATAGTTGGAGAGGAAAAAATAAGTGCCATAGGGAAAGGCATTTGTGTACTACTGGGGATATCAGTAGAGGACACGCAAAAGGATGTTGAGTACATGTAAGTAGGTCACTTTCTCCCACTTTTAGAGTGACATTTGGACCCAAGGACACCCAATAGCACCAAATTTTTCTGCCATGCTCTCTTAAAGAAACTGCACTTTTCTTCCAGGGTCCGTAAGATTCTGAACTTGCGGCTGTTTGAGGACGAGAATGGGAAGCACTGGAGTAAGAGTGTGATGGATAAACAATATGAGGTGCTGTGTGTCAGCCAATTCACACTGCAGTGTATCCTCAAGGGAAACAAGCCCGACTATCACTCGGCCATGCCTGCTGAGCAGTCACAGCCTTTCTACAACGACCTCTTGGAACACATGAGAAAAGCTTACAAGCCGGAATTAATCAAAGGTACGATATTCTACAAGGGACTGCAGAAGAATTTCTGGCAGGTGTTCATTTTTATGGTGTAAGGGAGGTATCCGTGCATCTACCGAAGACTCCTGCTCTGAGCGTAGCTTAGGCTCAGCAATCCAGACACCACAAGTTCGAACCTGAGGCACATCTCTTGTTGAATAATAACTGGCATTCCCCAAGCAATGGTGCATGTTTGGAACAGTGCTGAGATTAGCTAGCCAAGGCTCTGTGTGCTTTTATTGAAATAATAAGCGTTGTATCTGTCCCCCATTCAGCACAGAACATACTGTAGGTACCTTGGTGTGTAGTATGTCAGAAGATGCATAGCTTGATTTGCAGGAGGGTGAGAGGAGCCTGTCTGAACTTTTTCATTGCACTTGTTTGGTTACAGGCCTTACAAGCGTTACTGTGAACCAATGTAACAACACAGCTGGCAATTCCAAATTGCCTGTGTATATAAGAAGAAAAATAATTGTGGTTTCTTAATTAAAATGAAGAGATTACCATTAAAAAAAAAGCTTCCAGTGGCATTGGAGACAAATTGGAATTTTACCACTGTAAAAGTGAGTTGAACAATAGTTTATAAAAAAAAAACATTTTTCAGATGCATAGAAGCTTGCTCCAGGGGTCACAGTGTGAGGCATAGGGATGTACCTTACTATTAAAAATTAATGAGAAATTCACAAGTTGTTAATTTAAAAAAAGGGTTCGGTCATCTTTTTATAATGAAAAACCCTTCACATCCTCTGACTTTTGGTGGAATGAAAAGCAAAAGGATTTATATTATATTAATTATGTGTTATATAAGGAAGGCTGTTATATCCACTGCACTAAGTTGTGGATGAAGCCTTTAATTTCAAGCTGATGATCATCATTTTTCTACTTTTGGGACACACAGTGTCGATGAAAGATGTGCTCTCATGAAAACAGGTTAGACTGTAAGAGGAATAGGAAACCAAGTGCATCCAGGAGTGACCTATGGGGAGACTGTGTAATTAGTCTTTTTAGTTCTTTCTCAAAACTGATGATGCTGCATTCTGCTTTGTGCTACAATATATTGCACACTTTGTGAAGTGGACAGTAAAAAGCAGTTTAAATCACAAGGGACCATGTCATCGCCTGCTGCTTTAGAAGCCATGATGCTGTAATACTGAGGGCTAAATGGGACAGTTGACCGTGTGTATAATACTGCAGTATAGAGGGAGGGCTTTGTAGATAAAGAAGAGTAAAAATGTTTGGAATTATGCCACACATGCTACATACCATCTGACAGAGTTGTGTTCTTTCTTAGATGGAAAGTTTGGAGCCTACATGCAAGTACATATTCAAAATGATGGTCCTGTCACTATAGAATTGGAGTCTCCAGCTGGTCCCATCGATGCAAAGCAGGTATTTTGTTGGATTTTGAAAGTTACACATTCACTTCAGTCCTCTCACCAGACTGATGGAAAAGAGTTTTCTCAAGATTGTTTTTTTCACTATTCCTAGTCCATGTAAGCAATGTAAGGCTAAGCAAACCATAATTAAAAATTAGATTTTATGATCTTCTTACTAAAACTTACATTATAATTATTACTGTGTATAAAGTGTTTTTTCCTGTGACTTTTTTGGTTTTCTTCAGTTTTCCAATTAAGATAAAATGTGGTAATATGCACAGAAGGTTGTAATCTTGCATTACTTTATCCCTATGTTTTTTTTAACATTAGTGTTTAGAATAGAGTTATCAGCTTCTATTCTTGTGGCTGAAAGTCCTGCAGGTTTTACAGGTATATTTCTGGAGATGTTTATACCATGTTCAGGAATGGGCTCACGTACTGACTGCTGTATGAAACAGTTTGTATAGTTTCAGTCTTTTCATTGTTATTCAAACAAAAATGTGCTAGATGGTGCTGTTGGGTTTGCATGTGAAACATGGAACTACAGCACAGTATTTTTATATGTTCCTATAGAACTGAGGGTCTTATTTCACCAACTGTTGAAGTTTAGTAATAAACATTGTTCCAACGCAAGTATTAATAACATGTTCATAAACCCCAAATAGATATAGTAAAGAATCACCATTCTTTATGCTGGTTTATTTAAATTCCAAATAAATGAATTTCAAAACAGTGCCAGGTTTTTGACATATGATGTCAGTGGCAAACCCTGGTGATCTTGGAGTATATTTGAATCTGTAACTTAAACCACAACCAAAGCTTTTAAATTGTCCCAACCATTAACATGATTAAATAGTGTCCAGCGACTGTCTAGAACTTGAAAAAGTAAACCAAAGCAATTCATTAATAATTAATCTACTAGCTATCACCCTTATACTTACAATGTGTTATGAAGTTAAGTTTACAAAAAAAAAAATTCAATTGGAAACTACCTGCCATTTTTAATGTGACATCTCCAACTAGGAGTAATTTTCTTTTAAATAGGTCTTTAAGTTTGAAACAATACAGCAAGTATAAAAATGGGAGATCACACAGTTTGGGAAAACTGGTTATTTCAACAGTTTTGAAATAAATTAGTTGTTTTGAAATTAGAAATTTATTAGAAATAAATTAGAAATTTTGAAAACAGTAGTTGAAGAGAAGTATCAGACTGCACTGTTATAGCTTGTGCCCTATCAAAATGTCATATAGCCCTAGATGTTAACATTTTCTAAAAAGAACATCTTAAAAGATTGTCGTTTATCTTTAAAACATACATATGCAGGTACTGAATTTTAAATTAATGAATTCTAGCACAACACAATGTAGTCCTTTATTCACCTCAGAAGAGCAAGCACAGATCTCTTGTCAGTTGTTCGTTTATAATGGATGAAATTGTAAAGCTTTTTAAATGAATGGACGTAAAAAGCATTTAGCCCTTTCTGAAACACTGCTTTAGTGACTCCAGTCCAGTTGCATCCAATGTGTTGAATAGATGCTTTTAACATTTTAACCTTGTTTCCAAGGAAACCGTGTCAGTGTGGGTGGCTTTCCATTTATGAGAAACAGTTATATATATATAACTATTTTTATGAATTAGATATCCCACCTATATAATAAGCCATTCTTTGTGGGATGCACTGTGGGCAGTGTAATGTAGGTTTAAAAATGCTTTGCTTAATGCTTTTTGAAATCTCACGCAAGGATGTTTATCAGTAATGCCAAAAAATAAAGCTTGTCAATTTTCCCTGGAATGAAGTTAAAAATGAAAATTGGAGACCACAAAATTCTTTAACAAATTGACATGCAAAAGGGTGCATATTTTCAGAACATGCTGAAAATATCTTTAAGTAAGCCATCAGGAGTCTAGGAAAGTCTGTTGAAAGAACCAGATGTGCAAAAATGTATGTCTTCTAAATGACAGCTATTTTGATTTTCTCATTTCGTTTAAATGAAAGCATACTGGCACTATATAGGCTCTTTGCTCATTATACTTTTTGGAGGGAGCTTCAGGAATAGAAATTGGTCAGAACAAAGTACCTAATTTACTTTTTGTTTGTACTATATCTATAAAGCATAGAATAAAGATTTCTTTGTATAACACAATTTCAGGAACGAAGTAGCACTAAGTTTGCAATTTTAATGTTATAATCAGACTCGGTAAGTCTTTAGTGATAAATTAAGTTCTTGTGTAGACCATCCAGTATGGTAAGTCATGCAGAATACAAATTTCCACGTCAATTTCTAATATCAAAACTCATTTAACTTTTACATTGTGTTCACTTGCCCTTAGTTGCTTATTCCCTCAGCATTTCGGTTTATTATAATGCCCTTTCAGTTATAGTCTTAGATTGGCCTAATATACAGTATATGTGTATACAGGTGTCTAGAGGTGTTATTTTGTATATTTCCAGCCTGTAGCCTGCTTTAGTGAGCTCTTAGGAGTTAAGCAAGGTTAGTCAATAGGGTGGGCCTCAGCTTTTTTGTCAGGTGTTTTGGAATTATTTGAAGTAAAAAACGCTATACAGGTGCATTTTCTTAATATCATTATTAACCTTTTTTGGCCTGTTAAGAACTTTAAAGTCCCACCATAAGAATGTCTGTGAACTCTGAATCTGGCCTTCAAAAAATAGGAATGGAAGATTTTCAGTGAACAATGACAATGGACTGCAGATCATCTGCCAAAGAGCCAAATGTAAATAGTGGCTTAAAAATGAGTTTTTACTTTAACCTGTTTTGTTATTATAGCATAACCTTGCTCCTCGGGATGATTCTTTACCCTATTCTACATACCTTCATTGCAAATGAAGCTATTTTATTACTTATCATTCATTTATTATTAGAAAGCCACTTATCCTGGTGAAGGTCACAGCAAGCCTGTGTCTACCCTGGCAGCATGGATCAGGACTGAGAGAACACTGCTGTTCTCCACCTGGAGTATAGGATGTTGTCACAGTTGTTACTAATCAGACAACGTTAATTTACTGATGAACATCATCATCCAGCAATCTTTATTTTTCTAAATTGATATTTACGCATACAGTTGGTCTGTGCTAAATAAGGATTTGGAATTGGAAGAGGATAATTTTTATGTAAAGAATTTCCAGGTTTGCTGTGAGCTTCTTAGTGCAACTTTTTAATAGTTGTAAGTACTACAGCAAGTGCATATTAGGATTAGGGACAGATGGGGAATTTGACATGTTCAGGTTCAGTATTTTATCTATATATATTGTGTTGTGAAGTTGTAAGGGTAATTAATCTACCATAGGACAAAATCCTGTTTACTCACTTTCTTACTTTTATAAAGCATTTGACCTTTTCTGCAACATTTCAAGTTTGAAGCTCTTTATTTAATAATAGTTGTGCCATTAATGCAGTACTACAAATTTAAATTTTAAGTCTGTGTTAAACAACAAATGAATCAAAGCAACCCATTAAAAGACAACATCCCATTTCATTTATTTAGAATGATATCTGCAGCGTGCATGATAATCATCTCCCTAATTTGTGTTTAATTTAGTCACAGTGAGGCTCAGTAATTAAAAATGCTAAGATTGTACAGTTTCATTCACCCTGTCCTTTGTTGCAAGTCTGTTTGCAGACTGTTGATTAACAGAGCTTACTCATTCTTTTAAAATGTCAACCTTTGTAGTGGATGTAGTGTGCAGTTTTTAGGGGAATGAAGGATTTTAAATGCTGCAGTTCAGAAACTTAAAATATGTTAGTACCCCTGAAAGTTTAAGGAAATATTACACAGCTTTCAACTGTGTAACTTAAAAGTAAATGTGAATAATTACTGTGTGCATTCCACATTTGTATGTGTGTGATGTTGGGATGTGAAGGTCGAATAATTGTTATTTTTGATATGATGTTCAGGAACAATTGGACTGCTTTACTGCACTAATATGTCATGAATAATCTTCCTTCTCAATTTTATTGCTTCTCAGTGTTAACAATATTTACTATTGTTAAAAAAGATGAATGGTAATGAATTTGTTATAAGGTAGCCATATTTGTTCAACTGGAGAAATAATCTTCTTCTTTTGAATGTGATTTTTAAAATTAACTGCCTTACGTTTTGTGGTTTATCTCTTAGCCGTTTTTGTAAAGGCTTCCTTTCCAAAATACCAGGTCGAGTTGTAAATGTTCAAAGATGTAGAACATTTATACCTTTCTGTGTTAATGGTTTAAGGAAGGACTTGTTATTTTTAGAATGCTGTCTAATGTTTTAACATTGTGTTGCTATGCCTGAAAAAGTTAGATAACGCACAGCAATAACAACAGCGCAAAACCTGTTATAGGAATGCTGAAGAGGATTAATATGACCTCTCAGAAGTAGTCCTTCACATTGTTGTTCTACTGGTTTAGTTGATTTGTCCTCCCTGAAGAACATTTTTTTCTTTTAATACAAATAATGGGATTCTTTTTTTAACATAATTTATTTGGGTGGCAGTTATCCAGAATATTTGTTTTTTCTGTGTGTTTTAGTCTGACATTACTTTTCATTTGCAGAGGCAGGTTTCTAGAACATCATAATTAACCACTTAATGAAGTGTTACTTTAGCACCAGCTCCAACAGAGGATTCAACATTTTTGGTTTTCTTTGCTGGCAGACATCTTATAACTGATCGGTTTATCCGGCACTAGAGCCTACTGAAGATCATAAAGTAGTTTTGTAGTTATGAGGGTGTGTGTGATTATTTCCTGTTTTTTCTCCTGTCACTACTTTGACACGATTACAAGTTGCATCAAAAAAAGAAGAATATGAACACAAGGCTAGGTTAATTTCAGAATCTATAGAAATGACCCCTTACATTTCTTTGGATATTTCTTTTGATTGTATTTTTCTTAAAATAAACAGACTGCCTACTGATTTTCATCCATCACACATTAATACAAATGTATATAAAGAAATGATAGATATTGTTCATAGGCTGTTAACCAAACTCTTCCAATAGTCACAGAGGAGCAATTTATTAGAAAATTGCTAATGTAATACCAATCTATAAAAGTATACAAACAAGTAATTTGAGGTCAATACTATTACTTTAGTTATATGTAATGATATGAAAACAATAATTAGAGGATTATCTGCATGGCAATAGAATTTTGAGGGATAGTCAACATGAATTTCTGAAGGGGCATTGTTGATGTAGTGGAGTATCAGTAGAAATTGTATTAGGACCAAGTATTTAAAATCCTCAAAGGCACTGGCAAAGTCAACCCAGTGGAAGTGTTCAGATTCAGCACTGAGACTTGACCCAAAAGACACAAACAAAATTACCTAAAGTGTATGTAATGCTGAAAATAAGAGTTGCTTTTACCTAGCCACGCTGCAAAAGCCATTATCCTGTCTTCTTTTAATAAATGGCTAAACTAGATCCTGAGATTCATTACCTGCCCGCTTCTAAACAAGATAGGTGTACTGAATGGCAGCTTCTTGTGATGCTTTGCTGTTATTCTGTGATTTGAAAATTAACATAGAGCAGCTAAACTGGATTGGGACACTTCTTTCTCTTTCTTATCAGAGTGTCTCCCCTATGAGATATCTTTCTCATTTACTAAGTAATCAAGACTTGCATTACAAGTGTCTGGGGGGATTAAAATGCCTGTATTGATTAGTTCCCCTTAACCTTGCAAAACAAACTATAAAATTAACATTAGCATGAACAGCTGGACGTAGTTCTTTAAGCTCAGCATTTTGCATTCATCCTTTCTCACTAGATCCCTAACATTGATCATCCAAATACTCTCAGAAGTGGAAATAAATGTTTATAAGGGTATCATATAATTACTCCTCCACAGGTAAGCTAACCTCTACACAGTTGTGCTTAAAAGGAAAAAAAGCCTTTGGCCATTAACAAATTTACATCCATAAAAATGAGTTGTGAATTTTATAAGGTCCCCAAACACTAAAAATTAGTTCTTTTGTGTACATTTAGCCTAATTACATTTACTACACAGGGCATTATAGACATCAGTTTGTCAAAATCTTAACTTAAACTTAAACTTAAGATGTTTCAGAAATTAAAACATCTTTAAAGAGAAATATAGAGGTGAAGATGACATTGTATATCGTTCTTCTGTCCTATTATATTGTTATTCTGCTTTTCTTCTTTGAAACTCCACTTATTATGTGTGATATTTAGGAGAGCCATGTGATCTCTGCTCACTTATTATCTGCATAACTGTTTAAATAACCCTTGAGTTATCAAATACCTCAACTTTCCTTCAGGAAATTTCAACTTGGAGGAAGTTGGAAGGGAGTCCCTTTTTGAGATAAGGGGCACTAATCAAGACTTGCATTTTTAAGACAACCACCATGGCACACAACAGTATTTTAATAGTGTGAAATAAAAAAGCCATTTGATTAACATGAATTAATTTGTCATAATCATGAAATTATCCTAATGAATTTTGATTATGCATGAAACAAAGGAACATTTCTTGGATCATTTTGCATGCAGTGCTACAGGAAAGTATATCTGCTTAATTAAAGTTCCATTATGACAAATTAAATTTAAATGCATACCATGACAGATGTGTTTAGCCTTGTTAAAGAACACTTCACAATTCTATGGTTCACATAAATGTGTTTATAATGAGATGTATATGAGGTTGTGTGCTTTGAAGTGTTATGAGCTGTCAGGACATTTTGATGGCTTTTAGAATATGTTCATGCTTTTGATTGTAGTGTAAAATAATTTCTTTCCTAGAGAACAGCTAGATTAAACATCTGAACGTCATAATATTAGCCAAGGAAACTCACTGCAGGCACATTTTCCATTTGCAGAAACGTCAAGGTTAATATAAAATGCAAAGGCTTTTTTAGCCACATAATGTATTAACGGTAAGTCATATCAGACTGACTGGATTTCCATCATATTACTTTTGCGTAGCACAAAATAAATCGTAGGACTGCTGTTGCTGCAGCAATGAATAAACTGAATTTACTTTTTTAAAAAACTCATAATTAAGAATTAGACCTTAGACCACTTTTTTGACCAAAAATGGGTAGAATGGTAACATATTTGCCTTTAATCCATTAAAATAGTTTGTATAATTGTGAATTAAAGCTGGACTTTAACATGTTGGACTTTGTACTTTCCTTTTTTTGTGTTTAAGCCGCTGAATTGTTTAAGTAAAGCCCTCTCAGGAGTTTAAATATCTTTTTATTCTAGATAGAGCAGTGAACAGTTGTGTTTAATGTGGCAGAATACTACATTAACCTAATAACAGAAATTAAAATAACTTGATTAAAAAATAGTTACCTTCATGAAATGTTCTCAGTTGCCTTAAAAGAGAAAACCACACCCTGAGTTCTTTGAGATCAAGATCCAAACCCAGGTTGGGTCACTGGTTGACTGGCCAGTAGTCCTGAATAGGGGCGAATGGGACTAAGATATGAGCCAGGGTTTAACAGACAGAAATACACAAACAAAAAAACCCACTGCACTATTCTACAATCCAGTACCCTCTAAACCTGTCTCCCGAGAAAGGGGTGGCAAACCCAAATCAAAGTCTTCCACAGGATATCTGTCTACTCTATATAAACAAAGATATAGGCCACAACAATCCCAGCCCTACGCCACAGCCAAGAAAACAAATCCGATACGTCTCACGTTTTCCCCGTTTCTTTTTCTATCCCCTGTCTTCACGCACTCTCTCTTCAACCACACCCACCTCCAAAAATGGACCCCCGCACGGGAGGGGAGGAAAAAAAACAAACAAAACGTAACAGGCTATAAAATTGTTGGGCGTCATGCAACAATTCAAATTGAATGGGCTAGAGTCCACACGAGAGCAGCAGCGCCTGTCTCTTGTCAAGCAGCGCAAGGACTGGGTGATATGGGATAAAGTTTGTCCTCTGGCTGGCATGTAGAAAGTGCCAACATGTGCTTAGCACTGTGCACTTGACACTGTGTGTACAGTATGTTAAGGGAATGTGATCTTTGGCTGTCCAAGTGGATGCAGAACTACACTGTCCAGTTCTGTTGAATAGCAATGGCCAGTTTTACAAAGGATATATATTCAGAATGATCAAGTAACTGAGAACCTGGAATGTTTTTTTTATCTGCTGTTTTAATAGACTCTCTAGATGTGAAGCTCCTCGTTGTCATTGCTTAGGCTTAGATTGACATCACTCTGCCTTCTCCTCATCTCTAGATTTTTTTGTCCTTTTCCCTCATCTCACCTGCTTTTGATTCTTCAAACTTCAGGCTACAGATCCTGGAATTATACTGTCTTGAGCTCTTTAAGTCAATATAAGTCACATATATGACTGGTGTACACAAAATAGTGCAATAAACTAACAAACCCTACTGTTCTTTATGTTCCATTGAGAAAAAGAATCCTGAAGGAGCAGCTTCCAGTCTTTACTGATTGGCTTTTCCTTTTGCGTCATTCAGAATCCTGTGCCTGTTAACATGCATTAAGGTGTGTTCTTGCGCTGAAAGATAGAGATGGGACTGGGAGAGAGCGCATACGAAAAGATAGCTCCTGTCTTTTATATGTTAGGTAATAAAAAATCCCTATTGCAGGTTTCTGCTTGGTTGTTGAGTATTCACCAGTTTCTGCGTACTTGGTTTTTCCGTTACTAGGCAGATTTAGGTCTCGGAGATCTCCTGGGGTTACTCATTGCCTTTGTAGTCGTTTTGATTGTTTTCCTACTGTCATTTTTCCCCACCACTAGCAGTCAAAGCTGGAGAAGCAGCAACGGAAAGAGAAGATGAGGGCTAAAGGCCCCTCGGAGTCAGGCAAAGAGAAAGCCGCCTCTCGTCCTAAAGTGGACCCCAGTGCCAGCAGTGGAGCTGAGGGAGACGTGTCTTCAGAAAGGGAACCATAAACACTGAAGTGGTAGGCATTTCTAGAACCAATTCAAAACACCACTAATAACTGGTCCAGCAATGGCAGGACATTGTAGATCTTAAATTTTTCCTGTTCCTTTCAATTGGTTTTCATCAGCTGAGCCGATCAAACAAGTGGAAGAGGCTTTATCATCACCAGCAGTCAATGATGTTTATTTATTATGAAGGGATGCAGGATAAGTGGTATTGTACTTTACTGCAAAAAGCAACGATGGGAGACTACATTGACTTTAAATATTTGACATCAGCTTGTTTTTCATAACTTGTGTCTTCAAGAGCTGTTTTCTAAGAATATGTAATCTGTGATATAGTACATTGGACATCAGTTGACTTTCGTTGTGTTTACCTGACCTGTTGACTTGTGCTGGGGTATGCAAAAGTTCTCAGCCTCTCTGTGTTAAGAACTATAAACAAAGTTTGAAGTCCTGGTTTATACTTTGAATATACACTTAACCAATTAATGTATTCAGTATTGTCTGTGAAATATGATTATTACTTTATCAGTTGAACAGATTAATTGAAAGGTCTTTGCTTGATCGTGCTACTTGACATTAACACTAAATAACAGATGAAGGTACATTTTGAAACATAATTTAGTTTTATTTCATAAACTAAAACATGAAACTTCATAATCATTAACCAGTTGTATCAACCACCATTTTTTTAATATTCACAAACTTTAGCACGTCTTAAGAATACATATTAAATTTCTACAGGCACAAGTGACTAATGTCAGATACTACCTAACCTCTAATGTTAAAAGTGAATTTACTCAATAATGCCTCTCTATTAGGTTAACACAGCCCTTTGGGCCTTATATACGAGAGCGTGGATTCAAAAAATGAAATAGCAGAAATTGAGGCTCGAGAGCAGATATTGTATTCTTGTGTTTATTCATGGATCCTGTCTCTTCATTTGGGATTTGATCTTATCATACAAATAATTAAAAGTGAGAACAAAACGCTGATGTGCTCATGAGCTTATGAAGGGCCTCTTATGTAATTGTTCATTTAAGGGTGGATTAGTGATGTTTTTACAGAATTACACTCTTTTTCATGGTCCTGCACTATATTTTTCAAGTATTAAAATGCCTATACTGTTTCATACAGCTGATTGTAGTACTTGAGCTGCCATCTGTTTGCTTACCTGGCCTGACCTTTGTCGAAAGTGAAATAAAATCGTAATACTTATCGGACTTATCTGTTTCATAACTTGACCTTGCACTGCACATTTTCTTCGTATTGGTATTGTCAGGTGTCATCCACAATCCTCTTTTAATAATAACACTCAAAGTAAATGTGTATGCGACGTAAATCAAAATACATTACGTAAAAGTAGTTTGTAGCAGAATGACTGAGCAGTATTAGATAAAGCTTAGTTGTTTTTGTTTTTTTCTGTGGTTGTTGAACAACACAGTAAATGGAATTAAGTGATCCTTTTTGCTACAGTCTTTAAAAGAGGAAGAAATCAGTTATGTTTTAAAGCTGAGTTATATTGCTTAGTTGGCAAAATGCTGGTGATCAGTTTCAGAAGTAAATGATTTTGGATAATTTTGGATACTAGATTCCCTAAATACTTTATGAAGGTTTCATTTTGGTAAACTAAATAATAAAGACTATTTTTGAAGAGACTACATCTCTGTAACTGTGTATCTTTAGAAAATATAGAAAAAAAAACTGTTGATGAAAAATATACAGGGTGTCATATTCTCATAGAATTTCTTAATTATTTTGTTCTCTTCTTTTTTTTTTTGAAGGTCCTACTGTTTGGACTTGATCTCGACAAAATCCCCAAAAGCTTGATCTTCATTGACTTCAAAACATTTTCTTGGGCACCTTTTACTGAACAGAGTAGCCTGGGGAATGAGCTGTCTCACACTGACATTCACATTAAACCAAAGGAGTCCACTGCCTTGAGTTTCTTTCAGAAGTTCATGGGAAGGAGTTGAAAAAAAATGAGGGAACTAAGAAAAACAACCTGGAACAAATTTGATCATGGCAGGACCAGGAATGAGTCATTTGTTTTTACTTGAGCTTTTAGAGATAACCGTGTGCGGGGAAAATCATAGTAAATTTGTAAAATGTATGTGTTGAATCTTAAAAGGTAAATTCTGTTTTTGAGGAAAGGAATACTAGAATTCATTTTAAACGTTCAGCTGTCTCCTGTGTTCTAGTACTGTCTGCATGAATCACAGAAATATTGTTGTATATTCAGTCTGAAAACATCTGAATACATTTGAATTGGCTATAAGAACAGTATCTGCCTATCTTTATTCCTCCATTGTATACCAACATAGCAGGAAATAAACTGGATAGATGGGAAGGGATATCTAACTAGACCAAACGTAAATCAAATTTAGATTGATTTGAAGGGCATTTGGAGGGGGAATTTTTTTAATCCAATGAATTCACTTTCTTTTCATTTTGGTAATCCAAATTAAATTGCTCTGAAGTCTTCATTATTAAAACACTTTTGGAAAGTGGTTCAGTGTCAGCTGAGATTTTGTCCTTAGTATCCACACTTTGTCACTTTTGTTTTGCTAAAGTAGAGAGCACAATTTTAATACAAGGAAGAGGCTCAAATGAGCTGATCTGGGAACCGGAGAAATGCGAGGTTACAGGTTTCTTGAAACCTTATAAAAACCAACTCAAGCAATTTTAATTTCTTATGTTCCTTTTAAAACTTGAAAAAAGATGATACAATATCTTTAGTATTGTGTATACGATACATTTCATGCCACCCTCCCTTAACCTTTCAGAATGGATGAAAATAGAAATAAAACTTGTTACTTTAAATGCAAAATCAGGGTAATGTATATGAAGATTGACCAAAGTTAAATGTGAAATGAGGCTTAATACCACTCATTGGTATAAGCATTTTTCACTGTACCATCTTAGTGAAAGGAAACTTCTGATGATAAATGTCTTTTTGCATTGCATGTGCTGTGTCCTTGGTTTATGTGTAAATATTGCACACCAGTTTGCTTTCATACCTGATGCCTTAGTGTGTACATTCAGCTGAAACATGGATGGAACTGCACATTTGAGTAGATATAGTAGAAAATTTGAAGTTGATGTGTTCTTTATTTTGTTATTGAATATGTAACAAAGTTGAATGTTTCCAAGCGTAAATGTGCTGTTTTTTTGTGTTTGTGGTATCCCTAGAATAAAGGCCAATACAACATGTTTTAAACCTTTAATTCATGTAATTCAGTAATGGAGTTTAATAAAACATCCCTTTTATCCAGGTAAGGGTAAACTTGTTTCCATAGACAGACGGATTACTGTGACACGTTTTATTACAAAAGTCCTTTTGTGACTTATTAACACATGAAACAAAGTAATTTCACAAGTCACAAGTGGTCAAATTTGGTCCTTTAAAATTGCAGGATGTTCACAATTTCACATCTCTAAGTTTTTTTATTAAACAAAAGACACTCAAGTTTAATACCTTTGTTTAATATTGAAGTTAAATGTTAATAGTAAAATCCATTGGGTATTCTTTCACAGCAAGGAAGTTGACTTGTTTTTGAAAGGATTTTTTAAATTTTGTTACAGTAATAGTTGCAATGTCCCATCCAGCATCCTGACACAATTTGTGTCTTAAATACAAATTCAATGATAAATCATGGTGAGATTTCTTCTTTGATTCTTTCGTTATTTTTCTTGTACTGAGAAAAAGGTGATTTTGTATTTAATGTCAAAAGTTTTATGTTGATGTCTGATGTCATTTTTATTTCTTGATACTATGTAAAGATGTGTTTGTCTAATTAGACTATACAGTATGTAGTAATTTGATGTATAACAGTCAAACTGTCCACTTAAGTGAAGTGTCCTGCCTAGGTTAATTAATCAACAATTGACATATCTTACTTGGCATAGCAAACCCTCTGATTTAGTAAAAAGAAAAATATTAGTTTTTAAGTGCATTAGCCCTGGGAGTTGTATCTTTTATATTTTCTATTATTCCCACTTGTTAGGTAATGTAAAACTTTCTAAACTTATAGGAAATGTGCTTATGAGCTGACAATTTTATGGTGTTTAGCTTTCCTAGAGTATTTGTGATTCTCCTCATTAGGTTTCCGGTGGTATCGCTCCAAAATGTTGGAAATAACAAACCGGCATTTGGAAGGTAATATAGGTTCTTAAATTGCTATTTAAGATGTTATTTTATCATTAACCATAAAGGTCTGATTTTTGTTAAATGAGGCATTACAGCAGCACAGTGCATATGTGTGTTTTTCTCATTTTGTGTTGTTAATTGCGAAGTGTCAACATGCTCTGCTTTGACTGTAATCCTTGTTTTCTCTTAAACACTAATTAAATTATTTTATTACACATTTTCAGTACAGAAACAGTAGTTTATTTGTAATTTAATCATGTTTATTCAACCAGTGGAAGTTTATGTAGATGTTACTCATGAGAGACAAAAGTGTTGGAAAATTCTAAATAATCTCAGTATATGCAATATACTTTAAAAATATCAGGTATATTTTGTTTTCTTGATTTAAGTATGAAAAGAGAAAATATTTTGCCCTTTATAAGGTAGAGGCATTATTACTTGTGCTTCGTACATTGCTCATATATTGCTTTGATGATGTCTTTACAGTTATTGCTTTAAATTTTCCAGTACTGCATTGTTGTTTTTTGAACAGAGTGTAATTAGCAGCTAAGTTATGATTACCCCCATGGAATTCCACATTGTAAGAGGGTGAAATAATAGACACTACATGTTTTTTTATAAATGTTTTCACTTTACTTTAAATCATTCCGAAACCATAAAGGTTTATTCCCACATTGCTGTTTACTTATAGTTATGATAAGCAGTTCAAATGTTTACTTTGCTTATTTGTTAGGGATTTTAGTAGATGAGCCCTTCTGTATGGTATCTGTTAAGACTGGTGTGAGTTGCTTATTTTGAAGACATGGTTAAGATGGAAAGGCATTTGTTCTGCGGATGGAACAATCTGCTGTAGGTAATCTAACAAATGGGAATAAAAGGAATGGATAACAAAAAATATCATGCAAAACCATTTGCTGGGCTATTTTCCTTTCCCTCTCAGTGAGCTGCCCAGACCACGTGAATTTTATTTTTTAATCATTTATAAAGGCATCATCATTGACTCTTACATTAATATACTTAATGCTTTTGCCATTTAAAGTGATCTAGTTCACATGTGTGCGCCATTATCATCAACAAGCCCTTTTGACCACTTTGTTCTATCAGCAATTTGGTCTATTATCAGGCTTTGTTTTACAATTTGGTTGAAGTACTATTAAAATGCAAACCTCTTATAAGCCATTTAAATATTGAAAATCTTGAATTTAAATGCTCATGATAAGTATTGTTGTAATATTGAGGGAGCTATTACCTCTCCTCCTGTAAATGATCTTTTACAAGCAGATGATACAGTACCTCAAACAAAATTCCCCCGATGCCAGTAGACGACAAGGGTACATCATTCTTGTGCAATGTTAGAAAAAGTGTTGTCCATTCTAATCCAACAAAATACTTTCTTTTGATTTTCTTTCTTGGTCTTTTAGTGTTTCATTTACAGTATATTGGTAAATTCCTATTGTGTTAAAGCTAAATATTAAAAGGTAATGCCATTAAAAGTTAATACTCAGAAATGCATTAAACATAAAGAGGACATTTTTCTAAAATGGGTGGGAATCTCAAGAATAGTACCATGAGCTTCAAATGTTATATACTGTATTACCTTTGATAAGAAAGGCTTTGGAACGGCTAGTGTACAATAAACAGGTTTAAAATGGCAAAATGATGCTAACAGCCGATGCTTTCTTTTCATTCAGTGCCTTCTGAGGTTGTAACTGTTTGTCCTTGCTTTTTGTCATCCTCAGTCTGAAGTGTGAAAACTGCTCGGATGTCCCCATATTTAGATTTATAGGGGTGGTAAACCCAAAAATAACAAGCTGCAGCTAGAGAGCAAAAACAGATGGGATCCTCAAGGATTTTATTTTTCACTCTGTCCTTGTGCTGACTTTGGCAATCCATACTTTGTAGATGTGAGAAACCTAAGACAATGGTGTGGTCTAAGAATAGACAAAGAGGAATCCAGAATCCCCACAGGCCTGAAGTGCTTGTTTTGTATTAAATCAGAGCCAGGTGCTTTGTGACAGTGCATATTGATCAATTAGACAGTTAAAGCAGAGTCTATTTTTAAAAATGGTAACAATGTGTTCAGTGTTTGGTCTAAAAAATGGGTTGAAAATAAATATAACTATTAACTATTATTAAATGTAACTATTATGCACTATCAAATTAAACAGAAATACAATAGTTGAGATCTTTTGAAAAGATCCTCTGGTTGCAGTAAGATACAGTTGCTGTTTATCCCCCTTGTCAGCTCAACAAGGAAGAGGAGTATCTCAAATGGAGGTTGCTTCCATTGTCTCAACACTTCTATTTTTGTGATATTAAGTTGTTAGTAATATAACAATTCCTTGCTTTATGTAGCATTTCATATATAGGTAAAGAACTATTTCATCCTCTGCTGAAGTTCGGCTACCTCCTGGATGACACATGGCAGCAGGTAGAAAAGCTAGAAAGCACTTCACAACTTGCTGAATTGAGGGGGAACTTCAGGGATGTCATATTCTTCAAACTTGAAGTCCGATGTAGTTAGGGCGTGAGGGGTAATATCCCTACTCTTTCAAATATTACAATGGAATCTTTAATAGCAGTTTAATGTCTCACCTGAAGGATGATACAGGATCTAAGGCAATAGTGTCTCCAGTCATTGTAGTGGTGCATTGGTTTGGACAGTGAAGGCCAGAGAAAAGAGTGCCATCTAATGGTCCATTTGATATCAGTAGTTTCCAAAATATACATTCAAGTTTACTGAAATGCATGAGACTAAAATTGCTGTTTATTAAATAATTTGTGGAATTTAGATCTGGAACATGACTTTCCTTAAAAGGTTTTGTTATTCTTGTGCTTTCATAGAAATATTTTTTCTACTGTCACACTGTTCAGCTGCTTAGTTTGGTTTTAGCCAAATTCTGTTTTTGTAATTTTTAGTGCAGGGTAGTAATACTTGGTAAGATCCCCGTCGTTAAAATGGGAAAATCCCACCCTTTAAAATATCCTGTTATCATTTCCCACCAGTCACAGGAGAAAAACAAGGTTTAACAAATCCCATGGCACATGCACTTTTAAAATTAAAACAGATGTTTTGCAATATTTGGAGCGCTAAATGATATAAAAGATCAATGGGATAATAAATTAAGAACATTACTAGATGTTCCATTCCAAGTGTTTCTGACTGTTATTTCACTGAAGCACCACAGAATAACATCTCCCTGCTATAAAGGAGGATCTGAAACAGTCATCTCTTTCCCTTTTGCATTTGTGTTTAATGCTAACAAAAGACAAGTGATTCTACTATTTTTTTTATTAAGACTTTTGACATTTATGAAGTGCATGATAACTTGTTAAAAGTCTTGGTGGAAAAGTGAGAATGCAACAATAACAAGAATTCAAGACAATGTAAACAGAAGTAGCATCCACAGATTCCACTACCAGTGATGAACTACATGTATCAAAATGTATTAGTATGTTCTCTTCAGTCAGTTAGGCATTCACTGGATAAGAAATAAAGTATTTGTAAGATGTGATGAAAAGACATCAGGCAACAAGGACAAAACTAATGTCGTGAATGAGGGAGCACTAAATGGGATGTTGTGAACAAGAGTGCAGTGTATCTGGAAGCAGATGTGTTGTTCCAGTCTGCTTTTGTCTTTAATCGGGTCCAGAAGGCTGTTTTGTTCTTCCATTTTCTCCTGATCTGTGTAACTGATTCACAGATGGACAAGGTAATGACCGTGATCCTTGTGAACCGTCTGCCTGCGCTTAACAAGAACTTCTATTCCAGTCTCTAAATAAAAGGGAAATATAATTAACATTTACATAACTGCAAAAGTCCAGTAAAGCCTCATTGTAACACTATGTTGATTTTACTGATGCTGATTAGAGTGTTCTTGGTGTTTTTAGAATGGAGTACTCTAGAGCTTGAGAAATCTGCATTAGAAAACCTAATACCGTAAATAAGCTAATAACAGCCAGCATTCATTGGTTAAGTGCGTTAAAGAGTTATTTTCTATAGGGTACTTATACTTTTTTTCTTATGAGGCAAAGATTGTTGGGATGGTTTTATTCCCAGACTTTAGGCTTGTAGTGTCTTCAGGCTTTTCTTGGCATTCCACCTCAGCTCTTGGTAGCTTAATGGGTGTTCGAATGTATTATTTGATTCTTTAGACTTCAAATTTTGTATCACATGGTGGAAACCCACCATAATGTTTATGATAATTGACTGCATTATGATCATTTGTGATTTGACATGATGAATGCATTTTGCAATTCAACAGAAGGACCAAGACTGCTATGTGATAAATAGGAATCCTGAAAGTGTTCTAAATAGTTTTGTAAAATGAAAGAGGAACCGTCTAAGTTGGAGAGCCTCTGAGGGCTTAAAAATGTGATTGATAACGGAACCACTTAGAGCAAATTAATCTCTATTTTGAAACACAGTTTCAGACCTGTATAAAATTATTACTGTGTTTAAGGTCTGTTTTGAGCTTGGAGTGTATTAGCACCACTGTGGAATTAAATCAAGGCATGCCTTTTGAGGTATTCTGTCATTCCACCGAAATGTGTTTTTATGTAATTGAACTAATTATTTATTCAACTGAAAAATATTTTTTTGTCCCTAATACAATGCACAATATGGTAGAACTCCTGGAGGACAGCTGAGTACCACTGAATTCAGGAAGTCTGATCACTTCTTGTGGCAAGAATGTCTTAACAGAGGTTTGTGATATACTTTCTTGGTCATGATTGAAGGCAAATCTGTTTATAGTGAAAGTAATTTTAATTTTGATCTGAGGTAAGGGAAGTGATTGAAGTAAGCGAACATTTCGCATTGGATGACCAGTACAAATTTAAGCACTTTCAGTAAACATTTTTTCAGTTACATTCAGAAAGCATTCAAGAGCTACAGCCTGATGAAGGGTCATTTGAGATTGTTGCAAGAAGACAACTGGGCCTGAATACTTCCAACTATAAGATTTCAGGAGGAATGTTGTGTTTCCTCCTGAAATCTTATGCTGTGTTTTTAAAAGAATTCAAACCAGGAAAGGAAAGTACATCTCTGTTAAAATGCATATTCCAACAATCTTTGTCCGTGCTGTGTGTTAATTGTCATTGGTAGCTCTATCTGATGAGCCCAAATCAGGGTTCAAGCATGAAAGGATGCTGTTTGACCACATAATCAATCTTTCAGGTCCCTGGACAAAAGGAGTTCAGTTTGAAATATGCTTC